AGACTTGTGCAAGCTTTCTGCAGATATGGACCCAAAAGCTCCAAGAAGGGGGTTCACAGAGCTAAGAGTGGCAGCACGTGTCACAGACATGCTAAAGACACAGAGAGAAGGAAGCTGCCAGTTTATTGTCTGCCTCTTGGTATCTTGTCTGTCACTAGCCAGGCAAGGAGGGCAGGGGTTGACAAGGCTGTCACTGGCACTGAGACTCACCTTTGCCTATGACCTTCTCAATATTACCTTGTCAATCGTAAGTGTGCTGAAAAGAATGTACTATGTAGATATCAAACTTTTTAGCAAATTCCCATTACTGATGTTAATTATATATATAAAACTATACATATAACTATATATATATATAGCTTTATACACACACATTCAATCATATCATCAATATGGCTGCCTCTCTGCTTTGTGAACACATTCCCTGAGCTTTTATCATTCTCTGTGGAAGCTCAGCCAAGAACACTCTAACTTTTGCCATTTTTTTTTGTTCGTGTGTGTGTGCATGCATGTATAGTGTGTGTGTGTGTGTGTGTGTGTGTGTGTGTGTGTGTGTAAGGAGTAGTGCTTGAACTCAGAGCCTTGTTGCTGTCCCTCAGCTTTTTTGCTCAAGGTTGGCACTTTACCTCTTGACCTGCAACTCAACTTGCAGTTTTTAGTGGTTAATTGGAGATAAAATTCCCATAGACTTTCTTGCCAGGGCTGGTTGCAAACTGAGGTCTTCACATCTCAGCCCTTCTGAGCAGCTACAGACATGACACACCAGCTCCCAGCTTAGCTGGTTATTTTCAACTACAGAACAATTTCTAAGTAATAAGCTTCAGGAATCATAGGAATGCTGAATATATTGACCAAGGCTGCTCCTCCATGTGATGATCAAAGCATGTATGGTCATTTGCATATTTCATTAAGGTTTTGTCTTCAAGAACTGACATTCAAATTATTTGTAGTATAGGTAATGTTAAGGTGATTGTAGCTCTGGAGTTCTGCAGCAGAGAGGACAAGGCCTTGGGAATCAGCAGGTGCACTATGGGGATTCAGATGTCCTGGAGAGATGGGTGACAAAGTGAAATAGACATTGTTCCTTAACTAGAAGAAAAGCACAATCTCAATTCCTCCAAAACCTTCTAACTTCATTCAGCAACTGTGGATTACTTCTATATCCAGATATAAATACAGTACATAAGAATGATATTTGCAACTGTTAGAAACCCATTCAGCATTTTAACAAAGGTGAGCAGACTGAATGCTGAGTATGTTATGAATCATGTTGAATGGAATATTTGTTTTAAGAGAGAAATATCAAAACGTTGCATGCATGGTCGCATTTATAGTCAATCATGAATTTGTCCTTATAATCGTAATATCTAACAAATACATTTTAATCATAACAAGCTGATTGTTTTGTTTATCAATAGATATGTGATTTATTATTCCTCCTGTATGTAATTTTCTTCTGATTGTTAAACTGTCAGGTGTAGGAAATTGAAGGCCTTTCCATGTGATCTAGTCCAGTCCAGCATTTCAGAAAGGAGGAAATTAAAGCTCTAAGGAGATAATTGAGAGTCAGTTGTATCTGGGATGCTTATTTGAGGCATGGTTGGACTGGATCTGCTTTTTTAAAAATCAAATTAAAGAGTGGAAAAGTCTACATCACTGTGTTTCTGCTTTTGCACAATGGGTCATGGAGACCATAGGCTGGAAGCTATCATTAGGAACAGGCCTGACATCCAGAGCGAAGATGGCAGTAAGTGACATTAATGAAGATCCTCAGGGTGTCTCCACTGGACGCAAGCCACAGCTTCTGGTGTTCTTTCGATAAACACTAGGAACAAAACTAACAATGATGCATCTCAGTAAAGTTCCTAAAAGTCCTAACTGGCCTAGCAATATTTGCTGAATTTATGACCTGTCTTGAAACTAGAAGAAGGAATACATGAATATATCAGACATATGTAGAAATGTTGAAATATGGGATCCCTGGTTAGTTCTTTGGAAATGACAGCCTGTCGCATCCACTTGTCAATGCAGTTTTAATCTGCCAAAACACTTCTAAACTTCAGTGGAAACACAGATGTAGAAAAGTAGCATGACACGGCGGGGTGGCTTGTTCTTTTGGAATGAATAAAATATATATATCAGCAGTGGTACCATGCTCAGCATTAGTGACATGCTCAGCACTAGTGTTGGATCATTGAGTTCTGACTCATGGGGGATGTATGGTCTGCTCTATGTAGCTCGATAGCAGTTATTTTTCTCCTCAAACCCTTTTTTAGGGTCCATCTCAAAAATAACAGAAAGTTAGACAAGGGTTAGTGAGCTAGCTGATGCTTGTCTGGTGTGTAGCCTGGTTCTCCTGGGATTGTCAATCTTGTTAGCTAAAATGTTTATTGTTAATATTAAACGAGTTGAATGTTCATGAGACATTTGAAGGCATAAAGGACTTAATGTTATAAAAGATATACACAGTCCCAAGTTATTACAAAGAACCGTAGGTTATGAGCTATTTAATAAAAGTAGAAATTTGCTATATGAACAAAACAGCTTGTCATATCATAGTTTTTAGGAAAATGAATTCCACCAAGATCAAAATGTAAAATAGGGCATGTGATGGTGCAATACTATAATTCATGCTACTTCAAAGATAAGAGACCACATGGACAATGTTTGGAAGCTAGCCCAGAGAAAATGGGGATTGGGAGACCCATTTGGGAGACCCACTCTCAGCCAATAAGATAATCACGGTGGTATGTATGTTTAATCCAAGCTACACAGGACAAAAACAGCCTAGACAAAAACATTAACTATATGCCTTCCAACTTAAGCAAGTGGATGGGACCCAAGGGCTAGACGAATTGTCTAGTAAGCACAAAGCCCAAGTTCAAAACTGAAAACACAGCAACAAGATACAAACAGCATGAAACATTAGTAGAGGTTATGAGTATTTGATTGATGCATTTTTGCTAAGTTAAAAAAATTAACAAATAATACAGGAATAGGTTTATAAGTTTGATTTTTTAAAAACAGAAATAACAGAATGGGAGACTCTAGTTCTACCAACTAGATCTCTGTCAGGTTAAAATTGTATTCCCAATGAAGTGCTTGAGTTCATTTTGTTTGTTTTTCATTCGTAGTAGAATTATTCATTGGTTTTTCATCTCATTTCTTGTAAATGTGACTCAAATATTCATATATTTATGTACTCTTTTTTCTTCCCTTTTAACACAGGTCCTAAACATATAATTAAAAGTACTTCTAGGCAGTTCATGGGTTTTAGTAAAGGTGGTCAGATGTGATGTTAGTTTCTTGAAAATAGCCATAATTGTATGGATAGAGACTATCAGCTACTTTCTCTGGGGTTTAGGATACTTATTTTGTTTTTAATATAATGTCTACTGTCAGTGTCCTATCAAAAATATAAAAATTAAAAAATATTTAAAATTTTGTTTTAATAGAGTTCCATGTATAACAACTTAAGTATAATCAAGATTTTGAGTTTAACTTTCCTTTTATTCTCCTGCACTGCCATCTGGTGGTAGGTATGTGCCATAGCATCTGTTAGTACAATTTGATTTATAAATTTACTATTTTTGTTCATTAATTTAAGCTAATTATCTAATAAAAGTTTATTACATGTTGTGTATTATAGCTAACTTTTATAAATAAGTTCGATAATGTCTGATTTTAAAAATCTATATTTTGCATCAAAATGGCCTTAGCCCACAATTTTGTACCATATTTATTTTACAAGAACAAAGAACATAGTAGCACATCCTCAGAATGTTTTTTTTTTTCACTTACTACTAATAAAATACCCTGTATGTGCCACGTGCTTGCAATGTAATTGTGGAATGAACATTTTCTCTGGTTACTGGCTAATTTTTCAATGGGAGACTCTTATCATTGAACCTTAATCCCCTGATCTCTGCCTACCGAATAGCTGGGATTATGGGTTTGAGACACTGCAGATGGATGCATTATACATTATTGATCAGAGTATCCTTCACTTTTTTATCTCCCCAATCAACTGTCTGCTAGTAAGTATGTTTTTTGTTTGTTTGTTTTTATTCCTGTTTCATATGTGGCCTGAACAGTTTTCTCAACTTACAAAATTTATTAATGAATGGCAGATCTATCTCACAGTATTTATCTTGCTCAGATCCTTTCGGAAATAAAATGCATGAATGCATTTTACAGAGTGATCAGTTCTTTTTTGTTTTATATTTATTATTCGTTCATTAATTTACTATCTTCATGTACAAAGGAGTTTCAAGTCAGAAGACTCAGTTCTGAGCAGGTATCCCTGGAGCTAATATTCTTATCCTTACATAGCGCCTTGTTCAGAGCCTTATTGCTCACATCCACAACTGTACTTGGACTTAGCGCATCCATGGTGTGTACGGGAGTGACCTGCCCGCCCTTTCCTGCAGGATTCACCTGCGTTCTTCCATCTAATCCATATGGTGGCATTTCTGAAAGGATACAAGTTGTTCTTGATTTTATAAGATTACTTTTTGGTTTTATCTCCATAAGAAGACTTCACCATTAAATTTAAGCATTTGTTGTTTTCATCCAATGCCCTTCCTCTCTAGCCTTTCCTGATGGCATGTAATTTTAAATGCTTCCCCTCTGCTTCCTGCGCAGGCATATACTTTTGGAAATCTGAATGCATTTCACTTTCAGTCATTTTTGTCTATATACTCACCAAATTTGAGAAATAGAAGGGACCTTGTGAATCTCAAATCCCAATTTACAAGGCAGTAAAGCAGGAGCTAGGACGGAGAATGGCCTGGATTTCGGCATGGATGGAAGGGTTAGAGGGAGAGAGCTGCTGATTCTTTGGTGCTTGCGTGTGGCATAAATGTTCACTTTTCCTTTCAAAAGAAGAAGCAATGCAAAGAGATTGTGATGTATAAAACACAGGTTTCGTGGAAATTGTATAATTGGCTTTAATATTCATTTACATTTTTTCTTTCTTTCTTTTTTTTTCTCTTTTGCAGTTTAACAGCAATGCTCAGGACGTGAGCTGCTTCCAGCACCTCGTCCAAGCAAATGTGAGAAATAAGAAGGTGTTGAAGGATGCAGTGAACAACATCACAGCCAAGGGAATCACTGACTATAAGAAAGGCTTTAGTTTTGCCTTTGAACAACTTCTTAATGTGAGCATCATTGCTATATGTCTTTTCTTCTTTTATCATTGATTTGTTGTGTCTTAATTTCTGTATTCTGTGAGTGACTGTTCTCTGGGTTAGGTTCAGTGCTGATTTAGCAAGCAGATATAAACCAGGTGCCAGTGATTTAGGCTTGTAATCCTAGCTGCATAGGAGATCTGAGGATCTTGATTTAAAGCCAGCCAAAAGTACAGCTGTGGTTCAGGTGGTGAGAGCCAGCCTTAAATTAGAAGCTAGGAACCTAGCCTAGGCCCTGAGTTCAAGACCTGGAACCAACACATACACACAAACACACACACATACACACACACACACACACCTGGTATTCCAGATAAATTCATGCTACAGATGTGTCTAGCTGGTAGAAATCTGTGACTTCTTTGTATTTTGAAATTCAAACTTAGAAAGAATACACAGGGAAGATACCTTCCCCCATTTTCTTCCTATCATACCTTGAAGAAATAATTTAAAGCCTGCTTTTGCTTCACTTTACATAATACATGAAAAAAATCACAGCTAGGTAGAAAATCAATGTTTTGTATCAATACGATATGTTTGCAATCATCAAATGGTTACTAGAAATGTTTTAATATTTTACTAATATTCTTTTTTTTTTCTTTTGCTGGTCTTTGGGCTTAAACTCAGGGCCTGGGCGCTTTCTCTGAGATTCTTTTGCTCAAGGTTAGGGCTCTAACCACTTGAACACAGCACCACTTCCAGCTTTTTCTGTTTATGTGGTACTGAGGAATTGAACCCAGGCAAGCACTCTATCACTGAGCTACATTCCCAGCCCTTACTAATATTCTTATAGCATACATTATTTGTATAAGAGGGATCATTATGACATTTTCATATATGCGTATAGTGTACACCATTAATCTCTTTCCTTCTATCCCTCTTCCTTACCCTTTCCCTGATTCTTAAAACAATTTCAAACAGGTTCCATTGTTTTCTTTTCAGATATGAATGTCAAGTACTTTGAACATATTCACCCTCACCCTCTACACTCACCATTTCCTCTCCTGCTGATAGTCACTTATAGTGTCTTAATTGTAGATGTCTACTTCGTGTCCTTTAAATTTGTTGTTCCTAAATGTTCAAAAATATTCCAGGGGGTAGTTATGATAGTGAATGTAAAGACAAGTCCCAGAGTGGGCATGCCTTCTCCATAGGGATTCACCTGAATCACCCAGAAGTCCTCAGTGAGCATGCATGCCAACCTAGGGCCTCAAGTGATGGAACTTCCCACACTGTGCACCCATCTCTTCAGATGCCCATATCTTCCATTTCACCTTGAACCACTTAGAATGGGAGCCATACTTGGGTTTGTGCGTCTCCAGAAGCAGTAGAGTTGACAGTATGATCCTCACCTCCCATACTGTGTAAATGTTTTCTCATTTCTGCAATACATGTTCCCACTGTAGTATTCAGAGGATTGTGGGTAGAGCTTAGCACACAGGTTGCGCCACTTACAAAAGAAGTGTAGAGCGGTGCACAGGGGACTGTCATTTCAGAGTCTGTCATTGTAGAAACCTAAGATAAAGAGAATAAAATGACCTAGGAGAGAAGGAAGACAGAGTGATTTGGAAATGGATTGAAAAGTTACATGAAGAATATACATTTTAAAATGATATTTTTTAATTTGTGCTGTAAAATCAGAGAGGCATGCAATCCACGCAGCCATTTAGTCATTCAAAAATCACTTTACTAATCTGTACTTATGAATTACCGATGAGTAAATAAACACTATTATGTGCTAGCCACTCTTCTACCAGGGTACTATGGAACAGAATAGTGAAAAATACTATGAGGGAAAATGCAATGTGGAAGGGAGATTACTATGTACAGCACAGTGTCAAGGGAAGGTGTCACAGATAGAAAGGCTTGTGATCAGAGGTCTGAGAGAAGCGACAGCCAGATGTTGGCTGCCTGGGCAGTGAGGGGTGGGCCTGGCTTGATCGGGAAGCTCTTCTTAGACTACCAAGAAGACCTTTCTTTCACTCAGTACTTGAAAGCCACACACGTTCTTCCTTGATTCTCTTCCTTGTCTTTGGCTGTGACTGATATACAGTGTGCTATTTTTTTTAACAGTATAATGTTTCCAGAGCCAACTGCAATAAAATTATCATGTTATTCACCGATGGAGGAGAAGAGAGAGCCCAGGAGATATTTACCAAGTACAACAAAGACAAAAAAGTAAGTATAATTTTATAATACTTTAATTTTAAAGACTAGGTGATTTAAAGACATAATCATAGTGAGTGTGAATTTTTTAAATAAAATACTTGTCTCAATTCATAAGTCATGAATTATGGATTATGAAATATAATATTTGTGTGAGTTACCCAAATATTTTGCAACTCATACTTTATGTTATATATCACTATACTATATATAAAATGTATATCATACAGTATATATTTCATTCATAAAATAGTTTAGACTTATGATAGTATTAGACTCTGTGGATATATTCTGAATGACAAGAGATCATAAAGAGCAAACACAGAAGCCAGTGGAAATGTAGAATAGTTTAAGCTTTCCTTGGATAAAGTTTTATTGTGTCATTTAATTGTTGAAGTTTAGAATAATATTTAAATTTTCTAAGTACTCCAGAAAAGTTACTATACTACAGATAATTAGAGATATGTAATTTTATATATTTGCTATCAAAGACATATACAACAACAAATATGGTACTTACAATGAAATAATAGCCCTAGCCAAGTGCTAAATTCTGCAATGAGTTGCCACATAGATAAACCTCGTTGTTATTGCTAAGTGAATTATTCTATTTACAAAAAAGACAAAAATTACCACGTTCATGAGGTATCTAAAATAGTCCAATTCTTAGATTAGAGTGAAGTAGTAGTTGCCAGGGTCAGAGGAGAGGGTTCTGGGAATCTTCAAATCAGTGTGCCTAAAGTCTCACTTAAGCAAATGAGTCAACTTCAGAGACCTGTGTATTTTTACTGGAATTGCAGTAAAAAATAATCATCATATACTCAGTACATTAAGAGGGGAGATCTCCTGGCAAGTATTTTTAACATCATAAAATAGGATTGAAAAATCTATGTGTTGATTGGTACATTTCCTTTCATACACTATCATCTGTTCCTCATTCTCTATCATTCTTTCCCTCCCATCTCCACCCACGAGTTGCCTGGTTCACTTTTACCAATGTCCAGTGTGCTCCACTGCTGCCTTTTCCACCCTTTTTCCTCGGATGTTGCACCCTCGCCCCACCCTCCTACAGATATGCATGTAATATACCGTACTGAAGGCAAAGAATTGCCTGGTATATGTAAATGTAACCCCACTGTATATCACCTCTATAATAACAGTAAAGTTAAATTAATAAAAAGTTTCCCGTGTCAAAGTTTTGATAACTTTAATAATCTCCAAGCTCCTCTGTGAACGATGCTTTTCCTTCCAACTTCCAGTCTGTCATGTGTCTCACTGGCATGCATTCTTCCTCTACATCAATGAAAATCGAGTCAGCCTCAGCTGGGTAGATGTGCTGAAGCCTGAAAGGCAGAGCATTAGAACAAAACTTTGGGGCTATTTTCAGGAAAGTACTGCTCTCTGCAATTCATCTACCTGATTGTAGATAGGTAGGGCCTTAAACACCAAATCTAGGTTAATCTCCCGGCACAACTGTTCCAAATTAAAGCACATTTACTTTCACATCCTCACCTGTACCAGGGCCATTCCCCAGGGCTCACCCACGTGTAGGAGACCTCCTCAAACTTGGTGCCAAAATGAAAATGAACTCCGGCAAAAGGTCCAAACAAATGAAGAAAGGAAAGTAAAACCAGACACACAGTTGAAAGATAATTCCCAGTACTAGAAAAGTTAACTGTATTTGATTTCCTATAGGATAGTGAACAGATTACTTAGCAGTATACATTGAAGTTTGCCTCCTCTGCTAAGAAGTCACTGACGCTGCTTAATTTTCAGAAGTAATTGGGGAAACAATCGAAAGTACTAAAAGGAAGATTTCAAAATGCCTAGTGTGTTGAGAGCATAAAAATAAAGGACATAAGAATTTAATAAGTGTGGAATAATTTTTAAATAAAGAGTGTACAACTAAGGTTTTAAGCCTTTGGCAATATGGATTATGGTAATCCATCTAATTTTAAAGAATTAGCCTTGCAAAACCACAAAGTATTCTCTAGAGTCCTGTCAAATCTCAAGTAGAGAGAAGAGAGAAGTATTCTATAGTTTATAAAATGTAAGCAAGGTTACAAATGACTGTCATTTGTGCTTTCTGTAGCTAAAGTGTACATTGTTTTTTACATCAACAGATAGCAAGAAAAACAATACAGCAGGAATGAATCAATGCCAGCCCTTCCATCTCTCTGCCTGGACCACCAGGCCTCTTCAGGGCATGCTTAAACACATGATATTGGGGGACTTTTAACTTATCAAATATTTAGTACTATTTAGCAATTACATTGCTTCTAAGACCTTTCAGACATTTTTATCCTTTCAGCAGTGTCTAATATTTTCAGCTTTAGAATAAGAGAAAACACTTTATTCATTAAAAACTACCATTTGTCTCTGCTGGCGCTACTGGATAGTTGCAAGCCATTCATTACTGCCCTTCCTTACTGAGAGATTATAAATTTATAAGGTATATTCAGTGTGTGTGTGTGTGTGTGTGTGTGTGTGTGTGTGTGTGTGTGTGTGTGTCCTTCTTTCTGAAAGCATTTACTTCTCATCGAATAGCATTAATGTTGAAAACATGTTCTCTATTCTAAGTAGTCTTCTAAATAAACACACACACACACACACATTACCATCATGCATGCATTTACAGAGTACTAAATTCTACATCTAAAAACAATCTCATGAAAAATACAATGACTGCATTATGGAGGAAGTACGATATGCTTTATATGAGAAACTTTAATAGTAGAGAAAGCATACTCGAAATCATTTTAGGGGAGAATTGAAGCATCTATTTAAGCAGAGTTGTGCTACTTAGACTCAGCATTGTCAGATTATGATAAAACACTGCCTTCCCTGCTGCTTCTGTGGCTGCCTTCTCTGATTAAAGACTGCATAGAGTTCCTCAGAGGGGTGTGTCCTGCTGAGCCTTTCTCAGGTTTTTCTTTTTGCCAAATATCTCCTCTTTTATTCTCTGTTAACACAGAGCATCTTCCTTCCTCTCATTCCTCCCATCAGATGATCATTTTTAATTATTTCTTGACATTTTACCTAGGATCTACCTTCTTTTCATAAGCTCCTTGGAGTCAGGATGCCATAAATATTATAAATTTAAAGTGTTTGCTCATATGTAAAGCATATCAACAAACCGGCAATAAATATATGCTTAACGTTAACTATAAGACATTCATAAATGATATAAAATCAACAGCTTCTATTTCATTTGAAAGATTACTCAAAAATATCATTTTTCTGTACAGTGGGACTCCGGTGTAAAAATACATTCAATATAGGCTCGTCAGAGTCACGTTCCATGATTCTATCACTCTCCATCCCTCTCTTCCCTTCCCAAACCAATCTCAACAAGCTTCTTTGATACATTTTCACAAATGTACATGAAGTATTTTAACCATACTCACCCTCCTTCACTCCCCTTATTTACTCTCCCCCTTCCATTAATACCCACCTATTGTATAATGCTATAAATAAAACAAAATTTTATTTGTTCAAATATTCTGCATTCAAGTATGTTTGTGATGAATGGAAAACGTTGTAAAATTTTCTCCTAAGACATTCAGTCCACTTGTATTTTGATAGGCTTAATACCAAAAATCTTAGTACACAGAGAAGATGAATAAAACCCATCCCTGGCATCAGTTGTTCTAATATATTTCGATAGCTGAAGTTTGTTTTTATTTTTACTTTTTTTAGTTTTATTGGCTTCCTTTCTTCATTGAATCATTTCCATTACTCTTTGGAGATTTGCCTATTGTAAATTAAACTTGACCTCTGGATAACTGATAATTGCAGAGGTGACAGTTTCCAGTAACTGTGTTCTGCTGGGAAACACATTTCTATGGTTTCTAAAAGGTTGACCCTGTGGATTTGGAAGACTCTGAGCTGATTCTACAAACAAGACAAAACAAAACAAAAATTACCAGAAGTCAGTCTGTATGATCAATTTATAATCAGATAAAGAACAAAATATATTTTAAAGAACACAATTTGCTGTTAAATACATTTTCTTGAATCAAAAGTGGATCAGGCTTGTATAACTCTGAATTATTATGTTTATAATACCATCCTTGTAAGAGAAAAATAGATATTAAAACAACTGAAGGCAAATTGTATAACTTTACAGCTAATTATAGAATGGTTTTAATTCGTGCCTAATTTTTATTAAATCTGCTCTCTGAATCACTATTATTCTATTGGATATGCTGAAACAAGTAAGCATTATGACTCAAGAATTTCACAAACTTTTCTGTATTCACTAGGGGTAATACAACCCATAAGTGGTACAAGTTTGTGAAATATCCTTCATTTTAAAAATAATCTTACTATCTTTAAGTAGTTATACAAAGGAGTTGCCATACACTGAAGCAGTTTATGAATACAGTTATGAATACAGTGCATTGGTGTCACATTATAAAGTACAAAGTGACTTCAAGTCCTGTTTTGGGTTACATTCTCTCCATGTATTTTCATGGGTCAATTTATATGTCAGCAAAACTGGAGACCAGTGAACAATGACATTTTTACTCACTTAACAATTATATAGACTTACGTAAGCACATTCTGTTCTCAAATCTTGTAACAGAATAAACCCAAATCCAATATTTATTCCACACTGTTGTCCCATATTATTTGTGTTGAAAACCTGCACTCAAACATTGTGAAAAAATTTGTCAATGCCATTAATGATTGTGTGTCTCTTTTGACTTTATAATGGAACTTTTACAGATACAGGCATTTTGAAATAAGCCCCTACTTAAAAACACACATTAGTTGAGGAACAATGGTTCACTTAATTGTTAACAATTAATGTCCTTAGAATGTTTCACACAGACAAATTTCAGTGTGCATTCATTACATAAATCAACCACATTGCTAAAAAGGTGCCAGAGTATGACAAGTAAAATGTTTTCCTTCACCAAAATTGAAAATGCCATGAAATTGACATTATCTGGATTAAGTGATAAACTTAGGAGTTCACACCAACTGTCCCTCAACTCAGGTGCATGATTTCTAAGTAGAGTCTTGTTTTGAAATGTTGTTTTCATTTGATAATGTACTACTAAAAATGGTACTAAAATATGCATCTCTGAGTTGGAAATGATGGTATTTCCAGAAATGTATTTCAAGAATTTCCATTTCTCTGAAATCATAGTTAAAGAATCACGAACTTAAAGATATAGAAAATATCAGAGAGTGGGGAGAGCAATCACTTCTGTGGACTTTGGGAACCTGACATTTTAGACAGAGTTCATTGGGCATCCACAGGGTGGCAGTAATACAGTGAAGAAAAGGAGAATGAAATCTGCATGACTACATACAGACTCTTAAATTTCAACAATACTATAAAGTGAATAGTGCTAATGTGTATTACATCTAATTAAAATTGTTATGTAGTTAGGTCAAAGATATAAAGCAAAGACAAATGAAGCAGGTACCTCCTGATGAAATATTTTTGTGTTCATTTTTCAGTGTTATATAAACAATGTAGGCATTAGAAGCTCTGTTTTGAGGGACTTATATTAAACTTTTTCTCAAGTAAGTGTAGATTCATAAAATAATTTTAGAAAGTTCTAAGTAGTCCTTGTCATTTATGTGATTATGTGACAACACATAAACCTGAGATATTTAACATATCTTAGGTATATTAGATTTTATAAACATAATGAAAAGAAGGTTTTTGTAATTAAGATTGTTGTAACTACTTGGAAGAAAATTTGCATCAAGACAAATAAAAATTGAGAAAAGCGGTACAAATTCAACATTTATAATATCCAAATAATTCATTGTTAACATAACTTGATTTTTGATAGCCAAGCATCTATGTTCAAAAAGTAACAAGAGGGAAAGCACAGCATGATTTAAAAACTAATTAAATGTGACACAATGTACACTGTACCCTCAGTTCTGATCCCAAATTCTTAAATGTTGATGATTAGTAAAGGCTTCATGGAAGCAACCAGAAGGAAGTTAGGTACCGTTTCTGTATTAAAACAATTAAGGCAATGCGCCTTTGTACCATTGCTGTGCTTTTTTAAAATTTTAGTTTAAGTTAGCTTATTTGAACTATTGAAATGATAAGATCAGTCAAAACAATCACACAATAGTGTGTAGTCTATATTATGAGGAATGCTTGCCTTGTACAGACATAGAGACAATAATTCACTTAGTCTTGCTCACTTGCTCCTTTACATTGAAAAGTATCTTATAGAAAATACTTTACTACAACACTCATATAGTAACAGGAAAAACTGGAGCCAGCTCTGCTTTAGGATCAACCTATCTGGCATGCCTTTTGACACTTGCTGTGAAGGAGGTCCTAGGCCCTGGTGCTTTCTGCATCATCTGATAGTTCACTTGCTCTGCAGTCATGTGGTGATTAGCGCAGTTAAATTAAATTATCAGTTAGGGTGGTCAACCTGCTTAGAAAAATATTTCCCTTCCAAAGTATGTTCAACTATGTAACTATGTGACTGTGAAATATTTAGACAGTTCCCCAATAATCTAATTACCAAAATCAAGAAAATGCAACCATTCCATTTTGAGGGAGAATTCGGAGACAGAATGAGAGGAAAAGGATAGGGTTGCCATGGGGATATAGGATTGTAACCACATCTCAGTCAAGTTTGAGGCTGGTCTGGGGGTACATAGTAATGTTCTACCAGAAAAGGAAAAAGAAGAGAAAGAGAGGGGAGAGGACAGAAGCGATGGAAAGGGAGCAGAGAGAAGGGGAGGGGAAAAATACTAAAACTCTTTAAATACCAATACAAAAAAAACACAACAAACAAACAAACAAAAACCAGGAAATAAACCCAAAACATTCATGTGTATCAACCAAATGTCTTTGTACTTTTCTAGCTAAGTCAAACCTGAATAACTCAATAGTGGCTTAGATAAGTGTTACAAGTGAATAAGCAAATCCTGCCTTTTTTTTAGGGACAATATGATTTGTGTGTCCCCAACCATTAAAATAAATAGATTGAGAAATCTTCTGAACCTTGCATCCTGGAATAATGTGCAAAATATAAAACATTAAATAATTAGATAAGGTTCTTTAAATATTCAACCCATGTGAACTAAGGAAAAATCTTGTAGCCTAAAATACATATTTATGTCAGCCATACTAGGATTGCACCCTAATATGTGTATCATAAGTATTCCCATGGTGTGAAAATAGCAAAACATTACTAAGCTTACTTGCTTAAAACAACTAAAGCTTTGTGTATTCATGCTCCTCACCACATACCTATCATGTAAAGAAGTTTTGGAGTTGGTTCTTTTTTTTTTTTTTTTGCTTTAATTGCACAGGAGAGGTGAGATTGAATTTGGCCTGAAACATGCATTTTTTTCTTATAAATGAAACCTCAGTCATATTCTAGATTGAGAACTAGACTGTGGTGTAGAGCAATCTACTGCTATTTACATGCAACCGCTGTCAGTGGGGTCTATGTTGAGAGTAGACTATGTGTTTTCCCTATGATGTCTTCCTAAATTTATACTGGCTTCAATTTTTCTTATCATAATAAACTATCTGTAGGTTTGTTCGTCTTTGTTTTTTCCCCTCCTGACCCCCATCTCCCACAAGTTTTATAGTTCATTTTCAACCTAGTGTCTAGTAAACGTCACTGCTGCGTTTATTCAACCCTTGTCCCACTACTTCTGAAATGTCTTTGCTTTAGCTATCTTATTTTGAATTCAATTCAATTATACTTACTCTAAAGACAACCTGTTTTGTGATCCATGCAGGTACGTGTATTCACCTTTTCAGTTGGTCAACATAATTATGACAGAGGACCTATTCAATGGATGGCTTGTGCAAATAAAGGTAACAGATTTGTGTCTTACTAAAAAAAAAACAAACAGAAGTGTTCTGGTAATTGTTGTCATATCTACATTATCTTATAAAATAATCTTAAATTGTAACAAGCTTGGATAGGACCTGAAGGAAGGATAAGTTTATTAACTTTTTTTTCAGAACAAAACACACAATGCATTGTGACATTAGTATTACATTGTAAAATATTTAGATATCTGCTCATATACTATTGTCAATTAGTAAAATGATACATTATGGTGAGTGACATTTAATTATATGCAATATATATGTGGATTTTTTCCCTTCTAAGTACCTAAATTATCATTTGTTTGCAAAATGTCTTGCACCTTCCTGAGTAATCCAGAGTTCATATAGAGAATAGATACTTCCTTGGTGCTCATGAAAAATGATTTTATTTGAAAAACAAGCTGAGATACCATAGCAACAAATAGAATTTGAATATATTATGAAAATCAAATTTAGCATTCAACTTTCATACAAATAATAATCATTTATTTATCTGGATCTTCAATAATTTATCCAGTGAAATATATATTTTAATAATTCTAAGTTTCCTGCTGCTTCAAGAAAAATTGCTTCAAAATATCGAATAACTTAATAAAAGTTTTCACAGTCTATATATTTATTGTGAAAATCCATTAAACATTTTCTGATATATCATTTGTATTTAAGTGTTTTCTCAGTTTTAAAAGAAAAAATATCTTTTTTTAGTCTAACAAAGACACCAACTAACTTTGTGGCACTTTATTACTTTACTTATTCATGTATAAATATGTATGTTTCAGGTTATTATTATGAAATCCCCTCCATTGGAGCTATAAGGATTAATACTCAGGTATGGTTATTTAAAACTTGTGTGAATTATTCCTTTGAAGTTTAAGAATATTTTCTGGCTTATATATATTCAGTATGGGGAGAATAGATAAAAATAAAAGTAACAAATATCAATAGTATGGTATTTGTATTAAAATATTGAGTGTCACAGAAATCTTGGTCTTTATTGCATGAAAGTTTCAACTATTGTCAAACATTTAAAACTCATATCAAATTTAACCTAAAAAGGAATATGATGTTATTCTTGTACACTGAAAACATCTCAAATGAATAAAATCAGATTTTTCTCATAGTTGTATTGCATTAAATTTGAAGTGATCTTATTACAAAGCATATACATAAGTTTCTGAGACACATAGAATACTAAACAATTATTTGGGGTTTTAAAAATATACAAGCACTAGATGGAACTTCCATACCTCCCAAATAACTTCTGCCTATCTATTTTCCTGTTCAAGATAAAGATACAGAGAGCAGTCTTTTACCCCAACCCCAAAACTTGTCTTTTAGTAAAATTAAGCAAGTAAGTTAAATGTTCTTGTTCTTTGTTTTTTGGTTTATTTTATTTTTACTTCTCTGTCTATTTATTTATTTATTGGCCCTAGTGATTGAATTCAGGGCCCGAGCACTGTCCCTGAACTCTTTGCTCAAGACTAGTGCTCCACCCCTTTAAGCCACAGCTCTACTTCTGGATTTTGAGTGGATAATTGGAGATAAGAGTCTTCTGGGGACTTTTGTGCCCTGGTTGGCTTCCAATCCTGATTATCAAGTATCTTAGTGGCTAGGATTACTGGTGTGAGCCTCTAGCACCCACCTTAAATGTTCTTTTTAAATGTTCAGACATTATTATTCAAAAATAATGACTCAATTTTAAACACAAATGAAAATCTGCAAAACAGACTAAGTAAAAATTTAGCCTTTGCAGAAGTGAATACTGAACACATTGAATGTTGAAACAAAACAGCAACTGCATGTGAGTCTTATGTCTATATTTGCCACAGTATCATTTATTTTTTGATATGCTTAAATGTATTTTTGAATGTCAGCCAAACAATCTATGATATGAAAGCAAGTATGTGACTGCTCTATTACTTCAAATTTGTACAATTCCACTCAGTGAATCATAGAGCCTTAAATAGTTTAGATCAACATGAAACAACTCACAAGGAACGTATTTCACTTATCATTGCTGTACCTTGAGAAAAAGTGTCTGAGAGTTACTAGAAAAAAAAACTGGGGAAATATATTGTACAAATAAGGTAAATATGGCTGATTCAAAACACATAACAGAGATGAGGTTAGATAGGCAACGTGGAGTGTCACTGATGGACATTAAATATGTATACACTCTGTCTGATGGACAGACATTAAATATGTATACACTCTGTCTGAAGAAATGGAGTCCACATGTACTTTCCGCTGTAGATTCTCCTTACCCTATATAGATTAAGTTTTCCTAAAGATAACATTCCTAATTTTCATCCACACTTTGTTTTATATAAACAGGAATATCTGGACGTTCTGGGAAGACCAATGGTCTTAGCAGGAGACAAAGCTAAGCAAGTCCAGTGGACAAACGTATACTTAGATGCACTGGTAAGAGGGTAGAATTTTCAACCAAATTATCATAATAAAAGCATGCAGCTGATTTTTGTTCTTCCTAGGTGACATTTCTTCTTTCCTCTTCATTAAGTCTCTTATAAAACTCCTTTTATCCCAAATGCCTTGGCTAAGCTCTAGATAGTACAAATAAAATCCTACATTTGTACATTTGGATGTAATAGAGAACCACATATGTAGAGTATTACGTTCTAGTTGATCTGCCAAGGATATAAAATTACTAACCTAGAATGTTGGAGTTATGGGTATTTTCATAAGATTTTGAATGTTTAGTATAAAAATTGATGAATGTCATATGAATGGAAAATTAATTTCTTCAGATTTTGAATAAAAATATCCTTAAATTAGATGTCAGCTGGTAGAAAGATATTAAATCTCCAAGATTGTAGCCAAACTCACCAAACCTCAGAACTACATTCACTTAGACAGACCATACTCTTATCTTACACTGAAACCATCACAAACTTATTATCCTCTTTGTATGCAATTTCTTTCCTAAAGTTCAAGTAGAGACATTTCTTTAAAACAAATAACACCCAGGGGTGATCAAGTTTTCTAGGAAATAAAATACATGTGTTGAAGTGTCCATGGCATAGTTACCATTTAGAAGTATTCCATCTTATGTTCTAAGTATTTCATCTTATGTTGAAACATTAGTTCTTCACTGTGGATGGTTTTGCCTTTATAAGTCACTTTGAAATGTCTAGACATTTTTGATTTCTTTTATCTTGGGGAAGTGAGTGACAAATACTATCTGTAGTGCATCAAGACAGCAAAAATAACTCGCCTAAATTATCAGTAGGACTAAAAATGAAAAATTTTGTGTTATTTTTACTTTACTAACATGATAGTTACAAATAATCATAACACCTTCAGTTTATTCAAAGCTTAATATTGCAGGCATTGCTAATTTACTGAAATAACATATTGGAGAGACTTGTGAAAAGTAGATGCTGATTCAGGAATGCCCTTTTCCCTACTTGGAATCCAATTATAGTATGTTCTTACTTTCCTAAATGCAATGATGAACCGAAAGGGCAGAACACTATCCATTTAAAACTAGTTATCATTTGCGTCTTGCAGAATAAACAAATACAGGAAGTCAGAAGAAAAATCGGCATGATTAGCAGCAGCTTTGCATGTTAAGGAAGATAAAATGAAGTTTGCTTACTCCAAGTTCTAGCTAACATTACTGTCCAATGTTCCTTCTTGACATCGCTTATTTACTGAAGGTCACATGGTCATCTAAAGTTAGAGCCAAAGTATTTTGCTTTTCTAACTCCATTACAGGACAGTGTGTGATAGGAGGGGCCAATAATTATGCTGCTGTATTTCCTATGACCAGAAGTTCATTAACCAGAAAGTCTGCATTGCTGGTAATATTCTTACTGATAGTACACATGACATTAGAATAAATGTTGATTCTAAAATGCTGTTTTGAAAGATGAAAGTAAATGTAAAAGAAAAGAAACCCTGGCACATCAATGGAGAACTTTTTTTTTTCTATAATGGCTTAAGAATAAGTAATCCATCATGCATTTCTGGCCATTTGTTTATAAATAAACAAATACAGACACTAAATGCTGAAGATTCAAAATATATACTGGTCAAATATTCAGTTTTTCATAAAGAAGGAAAAGATGTAAAATCTCAAGACCAAATGTAATAATGGTAATATAGGAGACCTCTGGCATTTCAAAGGAAAGAAATCACAAATTTGCTGCTACAATGGAGCATACTTAAAATTGGTGACCTTTTAGATGAGCCTGAGTATAAGTCAGGTCTTGCTAATGGACAGAAAAGAATGAAACCACACAGCAATGAGAGGATATGAAGTTTGGAAGTACTGGCTATATTTAAAAAAAAAAGCAAAAAAAAAAACCAATCCTATGGACGACTTTGGAGATTATTGGACATAATAAGGACAGCAAGGAGAGTAGTACACTATTATAGAAGGATTGTTTTATTTGGGACATAAGGTAACAATAGTTAAAAAGACATGACCAAAGAAACATAGGCTCCATGGTTTCCCTCATTTGTAATAATTAGAATGCACCCATAAATCTACAAGTAAACCCAATGGGTAGTAAAAGAGAAATAATTACACTTGGGCATGATTGATTAATACCTTAAGCATTCACAAAGTGAGAACAAAAGAGGATATTCTTATGAGAATATCACAGGGACTCAAAAGCTATATGCATATGATTATATAAAATAATCTTTATTGAAATGAACTTGAAATGGAAACAAGAGGTGTTTTATTGTATAGTCTGCAGTTCTTCTCTCCACCCCTTTGGTTATTTCCTTTGTCACTGTTTTTTATTTCTGTGCCCTTTGTCTTATATATAAGTTTATCTGATTTGGGGAGAGGAAGAGGAATCACAGAAATGCTAGGACAAAGGATGAACCAATTCAGCAGTGATACTCACTAGACATTATGTTGAAATGAAATATACACCTTGGTGAGTGGGGGGTCAGCAAGGGGAAAATTGGGTGCAAAAATGAGGGAGAGTGTGGCTTTCAAACAGAAATGTACTTATTACCGGAATTTTGTAACTGTAATCTCTCTTTATATTACCTTTATAATAAAATTTAGAAAAAACAAAATAAAATTTAGGAAAAACAAAAAGCATAAACAAAAAAAGATGAAAAAGTTTTGAATTCCAGAAAAAAAAATTCCAGTAGTCAGAAATCTAGTTTTGTTTTCTCACCTATTTGTCACCTATGTTTTCTGACCTCTTCTTTCAGATAGACCCCACTTCTCCAAAGTTTCCAAGACCTCCCAAAACAGTAACAGAATCTAGGCCCCCACCAAACACATGAGCATACTTTATAATCCATAAGACACACAGACACACACAGACACACACACACACACACACGCACTCAAACACACACACCTTCAAATGTCAGTAATTAAAAAAAAAGAATCTGGAGCTGATCTTCATGGATTTATTAATATGTGAAATTCTCTACGTATTGATTAATGGGATGGCACTATTTTTGCCAAACCAAATGATAGCTTCCTGACATCGAATTTTTGTGTTTCCTGGTTTACTGTTTGCTTTTGTCATTCCATATTGTTTTATTTTGAAGGGTGTTTAGGAGTAATATTGCTTCTTTTGGTCAGCATGTTATTATTTAGAATAGAATATGTAGGAAGTTCAATATCAGAAGAATGTTTACTCTATCGTGTCATTCAGCTACTATTTCTTATATAGGGTAAAGGCTTTGGCATAAAAAATCAATGAAAGCTACAGAAATTATTTTAAGTAAATAATTCAAAATAATCTTTTGATTTAATGGAGACTCCTGATACTGGATGTTCTAGTGGAGACTCCCGATACTTGATGTTCAGTTATTCAAAACAATAGGAGTGGGAAGAATTGTGAAGTATCATTCCTTTAAGTTGGATCATTAATTTAAGTTGCTTTTTTTTTTGACTAACATTATTGCAGTACGCATCTCAACGATTAGATGTTACAAGCCTGAACAGCTCTCCCCTCCAACACCCCCCACCCCCGCTTTTTAACTTTGCAAGAGTAGTTATTTACTTTAGTGGCTCTTTGTAAGGGAATTATAAAATAAAGTCTCAGATATCAAAGTCTAATTTAGTAAGACAAAGTTTAAATCATTGCGTTCATTTGCCTTTTCTCTCCATCTATTTTTAGGAACTGGGACTTGTCATTACTGGAACTCTTCCGGTCTTCAACATAACTGGCCAGTTTGAAAATAAGACAAACTTAAAGGTTAAAAGTTAATTGATAAAGTTCTTAATAATAAATGGTACAGTGTGACGTTAAAGCTCCATGTGGATAAGATATTGGGATAAGGGAATACGTACAGTGAGATTCTCTTGTGAATACTGAGGTCAGTGACTACAGCAGCTGTGTGATAACCACCTGGGAAAAAGGAAGTGCAGGTCAAACTCTGTTGCCTAAAGTCAAGATTCAACCTAACTCTGACCTGATGAGAACATGAAGCTGTACACTGGGAGTCATTAGATGAGGAATGGAAAATGTTTATGCGCATTTGAGCGTTTACAAATAGGTTTGAGTTTTTTGTGCATTTCAGAATAAGACATCTAACCTCAAATCATGGTTATGTTTGTATCAAGTATACATACATGTATTAAGTCTTTATTCTTCCAATTTCAAAGTAGTTATTTTTCAGTCCTAACTTAAGGATTGGATTTAGAGTCCTTCCTTCCATTTTTCTCAGACACAGGAAAATGACTTTATGCATTTTGTAAAAAACGCTTACTTTTAGTTGTACTTGAGTATGATCAGTGCAATAGATTCTGCCTGCTGAGAAGTTGTGGGTGATGATTAGAACATCATGTACTTTGTCAAAGACTTTTAATTTAAAAATGGATTTGCATGATGCAATATGAAGACTTCAGGAGTTAAGATTATTTTTAATATTATGCTTATTTTATATTTCATGTGAAACTACTGATACTGGTAGGATATTTCTTTCCAGTTTAAGATTTAATAAGCTGGTTGGACTTAAGCACAGTTCGTTAGGTTGAACACCTTATTTTAATTTTTAGCCCTTCGAAACATTAGTTATCTCTCTGGGCATCATTATCATACTTAAATATCTCTGAGTTCTAAATATTGTAACTTATAATGGAATAATTCTCTAAACTCATGTGTTTTAAACTTATACTCTGTCTTGTCTATATGATTGCTTTAATTTGGCTAGTTTACTTTGCCTAAGATTAGTTCCCTGGAAAAGAACATTTTGTTGTTATAACTGTTATTATTTACTATTTATCATTGATTGATTGATTGATTAATGACTGATTGATTCTAATGCTGGTACTGGAGCTTCAACTCAGGGCCTGGGCTCTGTCCAGGAACTTTATTGCTCAAGGCTAGCACTTGAAGCTCCACTTCTGGATTTTTGATAAATTAATTAGAGATAAGAGTCTCAGGATTTATTACCCCAGCTGGCTTCGAACTGAGATCCTGAGATCTCAGTTTCCTGAGTAGCTAGGATTAAAGGCTTGAGCAACCAGTACCTGGCTTTAGTTTCTCACAGATAGGAATATTTTGTGACTCCTAACTAGATTTTATAATTTTCTTCGGAAACTTGTTTGCACTAATTATTTTACAATTTTTGTAGCTACCTTTAAGACACATTTTCTGCACATTGTCCATCTCTATTTCTTGTGGGTGATGATGATAATAATTTACCACATGGCATCCTTGGCTTGAAACTAAAACCATAATGCTTGTTATTTAGATATGATTACAAGCTATTAACAGGAATTAGCAAAAATGTATTGAGGATTTTATTAAGAATAACATCAAACACTTGAAAAATGATGAACAGAGGTAATACCTTCCTCAAAATCCATTATTTACTTTTACTATATGGCCCATCGTTAAGCTGGACATTGATGTGACACTTGTAATATACAACAAAGTCAGCATACACCCATACATACACACACACAAACACATAGACACACACAAATGTTTTTCATCTGCTGACTATATAAGGAAACATCAGGAAAAAAGAATGCCAGAAGTCAAGTAAAATTTTGTATGTCTTCCATATTTTAGACTTAGTCTAAAATCAAGATTTCACTTAAGTTAGGTAATAGGATTTTGTTAACATTCAAAAAGTATGAAAACCCATGCAATTTGAAACCCAAAGTAATTCATCCTAGAGCATTTATTCTATTACATTCTCCATAACCAGTAGAGTTAGGTTATGAAGAATGAAATAAGGTTCCCACCTAGCAAGTGCAATATGCTGAGTTGAAACACACAAATGTGCACACATGTGCATGCACACACACACAAACACATAATTATGTACCTTTAAGCTAATATAGAATTAATTATCACAGCAAGTGGATAAAGAGGTATAGTGCTTGTGTAGAAATATATAAATATCTAGTATAGAGCTCACTCATTTTATTCCGTCTTGTTATAGAACCAGCTGATTCTTGGTGTGATGGGAGTTGATGTGTCTCTGGAAGACATTAAAAGGCTTACTCCACGCTTCACAGTAAGATGAAATTCATTCTTTTTTTTTAACCTTTCCTATCTTAGAACTATGTACTAATTTAGTTTATCCATAAAGCACTTACATACTTCTCAAAAATTATATACAGCCAGCTTAACAAAGGAACTAAATGTTAAAAAGCATCTTTAAAATAAGATGTAGAGATACTGTATGATTCTTTAGTATACTATACAATGGGCACTTAATAAATAAATTAGAGTTTAGATTGAGATGCAGACATTTCTAACCTATCCTGCTATTTTTCAGCTGTGCCCCAATGGTTATTATTTTGCAATTGATCCTAATGGTTATGTTTTACTACATCCAAATCTTCAGCCAAAGGTATGTGTATATTTTGTTTAGAGTGATTACTGTTTCAGAAAATTAACAATTAATGTTTTTAAGAGTATTTAAAAAGAACCTGATACTTTCTGTCAAAGTCAGCCGTTGTCATTGCTTAGGCCTTATTTTAATACATCTCAATTATGACTTTAATTCAGGCTATAAGGAAAGATTGTTCCAAGCATGGTGTGATCTTGACAAGTGTAATTTACATTTCTGTCCATGCCATGTTTTCCATTGCCTTCTCTTCTGGTAGTTACTTCTGCTCTCTACTTCCCAGACAATTCGTTTTCACTTTTGGGCAAGTTTGTAAAGATAGTAAATAAAAAAAGGAAAATGGATACAATCCTTTAGAAACAGAAAATATTTTTAGATCATAAATATTTTAAATCAACTATTTTATTTTTAACTTTGATAACTTTTTAACCAAGATAAAAACTATATTTTAAAAATATCTCATTTAACTCCATTCAACTTTTGTAATTCTTAAAAGAGATGTTAAATTCAAAATATTTATTTACAAGTAAAATTAGAGAAAAATCTTACACAATTGCAATTTTGTATCTTTAAGATATTGTTTAACTTTGAACATAACTCTGAACATACTTTAAATGGTGAAGGTTTATGGAAACGATATCCTTTTACCTAGGTATAGATATTTATTTTTAGTGACATATTAGAAACACAAGTGTTCACATATACACATATACATGAAGCTGTTAGATATGTTTTAAATCAATAATAGTCATGATATTAAGTACAAACACTAGATATAATAAATTAAATTATTTTGGCTTGTTAAATAGTATTACACATCATAATGATTTTAATTCTCATTTTGAAACTGTTTTCATGCAAAATCTATCATGATGCAAATATTAAGCAAAGATAGCTGCTGATTATTTATGAAAGAATCATAGATTCTTTTATATTATTAAACTATCAAAGCTCCTTTTTATGTCATGTTAAATCATTTTTAATACACTCATCCCTATAAGTTTTGCCATTGTTAAAATTTTTAGTTTTTAAATCTTAAAACAGTTGGAGATTTTTGCAATACCATTATGGGATGCCTATCTAGTAGATTTTTTTGTTTTTTGTTTCTTTTTGGTCGGTCGTGGGGCTTGAACTCTGGGCTTGGGCACTATCCCTCAGCTCTTCAGCGAGCGCTCTACTGCTTGAGCCACAGCGCCACTTCCAGTTTTCTAGTGGTTTATTGGAGATAAGAGTCTCCTGGACTTTCCTTGCTCAGGCTGGCTTTGAACCGTGATCCTCAGATCTCAGCCTCCTGAGTAGCTAGGATTACAGGCGTGAGCCACCGGCGCTTGGCTATCTTAGTGTATTTTAAATTATACCCTTTTACCTAAACCAAGAAAATATTAAAAATAAGCCCATTAGCTTCAAACTGATTTTTACTAAAATAGCAGTCTTTAATCAGTAAAAACTGGTTTTTAGCCTTCTCCTTTTTTATTGACTCATCACATGGCGCATGTCAAATACTTTAAATTCAGATTATGTTCGTATCCTGTCTCTGATTAGGGAAATATCTGACTTAGCTTGATTTCAAGTTAGAGCTCTTATTTGTATTGCTATATAGGATGATGCATTACCGTTTTTCTGTTGCTTCAGCCTATTGGTGTAGGCAAACCAACAATTAATTTACGAAAGAGAAGACCCAATGTTCAGGTAACTGTGTTGCAGGTAGTCTTAGTGGTGCTTTCCAATTTGCTAAATCAGAGTTGAGATCGAGCTTCTGCTCTTCAAGCTTATGAGGGAAGTGGCCTTTCCTGACATCAAGCTTCCAGAGCATGAGAGGGACATGGGCCGCATTTGTCAATAACTATTCTTTATTATGGCAGAGGGGATGCTCTGGCTAACTAAAAATTGCTAAGCAAATGGTTTAATTATAATAATCAGCAATCATGATGGGATGGCTTCCAAGAAATTTTGTTATCAGATATTGGGAGGTTAATATTAATCTGAGGCGATCTTCAGAATTTGCTTGTAAAACTGATTTTTAAGTGTGAATAAAATGCAACTCCTATGTAATGACTTTAAGATATTTCTTAAAATTATTTTCAATAGAAGTCAGAGAAATTTCCCTTTAGCTAATTAAAAATACTCCTAATGGCAAATAAATAGTGTGAGTTTTTATTGCTTCACAGACTCATTGCAAAGTCATCTTATCTCTATGAGCAAAAAAAAGTATGCATATTTCTGTAGAGAGATTAAAAGTGAGCAAGATATGCTGTACTCATAAATTGTTGTGTTGAATGACAACTCCTTTGTACAACTAAAGGATAATATCTATCTGTATATCTACATATAAGTAATTATCTGAAAGAATATTTTTATAGTGTAATGAGAGAATTTCAACAGAAGTTTGATCTTGTAGATTTTCTATGTGAGCCCCCATTTCCTAAAGAGAATTTGAGTTGGTAGAACTGATACCTAATTTGGTTCTACTTTTGTCATGTCTGTATCCTTCAACAGTATCTGGAGGACTTGAGTGTCATTAACCTAAAAAAGAGAGCATTGATCTAATAATTGTTCTGTATTCTACCTACAGAATTAAATAAGTGCATTAATGGCAGGTCCCAACTCCTGGGAGTTGTCATAACTTGCCTCTAAGTAGTTTTAAAGCCCTCAAGTTGTTCTGAAGTTCAGGAATGTTGGGCTAATCAAAGATTTAGTTCCCTTTTAGCTGAATCTCATCTGATACTATACAAAAGTCCTCAAATTGTTTTACTATTCACAGAGATTAAAGTATATGTACACCTTCCTTGAAGCCCTGTTTATTTATACTCCTTGCATGTTTCCTTTTATATAGTATCATAAGTTATACTTTTTTTCAGTGATGTACATTTTAGCAGTTTTTTTTGTTTCTGTAGCAACTTCTGCATGTAACTATTATAGTAAAATTAAAAAAATAAACAAACTGGATGATGGTTTGTATTATTTTTCTTTGTATGCAAAAAAAAAAAGCCTAATGGGAAACTAGCAACCATGTAAGAGTTCTCATTGGCAGGGTACCTGTAGCTCAGGCCTGGTTACTCAGGATGGTTGAGGCCAGCCCAGGCTGGAAAGTGGGTAAGACTTATCTCCAATTAACCACCATAAAATTGGAAGTAGTGCTGTGGCTTGAAGTGTTAGGGTGCTAGCCTTGAGTGAGAAAGCTCAGATACAGCACCCAGGCCCTGAGTTCAAGCCCCCTGAAAGATAAAAAAAATTTAAAAAATAATAATTCTTGATGAGAGAAATAGTTAAGTGTTATAATATTGTAGGAATATTAATTACTAATTATTTCGAGTTCCTATTTTTGTTGTTGCATCCTACCTTTTATTTCATATCCATAAGTGGTGTAGTCATTATTCCAATTTCACAAATGAGAAATATTACATATTTTAAATACATAACATATTGGTCATAAAGGGACCAAAGGACCTAAAAGGGTCCTTTCTTCAATATGTCTTGATGTCTTCATAGTAGAAGATAGTCCTTCTGAATTTTCCACTTCCAATGCCTATGATGAGTCTTAAGAAAAGTAAGTGGTTGCCAGATTGCCATGTCCAAACAAAAGTATGCCTTGATCTTTTTCTTTCATGATTTGATTTCTTTCTGTGTCTTTCTATGTTGGACTGGGACATGACCTGCATATTGTCAACTCCTGATTATGCCTCCTTCCTGCATGCTGTGTGGGTCTGCCTGTGCTATGCATTACCCATTGCATGTAAGATAAACATTCAGATTCTGTTTTCATTTCATCATTTGCATTATGCTTACTTTGTTTTGCATTGAGTTTATTGAAATTTTGATTCCAGAGCTATGGTGTTTGTGTGAATATGTTTATTTCACAGGGCACAAAAGAGGTGTCTCTAAAACATTAGATTGAGAATCTCCATTGTTAGGGACTTTGTAAATTTACTTTTATAACCAAATGTTAAAAAGGATTTAAGATTGTAGGATTTAATTTCATACACAAACTGAGGTACTTTCAGTATTAGTGTTTTCTGCTACATTTCAAGTGAATATTTGCTTTAAAACAAAAACAAGCTATCCAAACAATGTTTACTATTTTCATCTTTGGAAAAAAAATCAAATATGTATTTTTTTGTCTTCCACAACCCACTGATTATTAATAGAATTAGTCTAAGAAGTCAATATTTCTTATATTACAAAAGACACCAACGATTATACTTTTACTTTGCAAAATTTTTATCTATCAAAAACCATAAGATCAAACATTGATTGTTTGGTTGGAATTACTTCTTAAAGGAATTATTTTGTCATCATGAAGAAACAATCTTATCTCATGTACTCTGTCATTCCATATCTAAATTGGATATCCTTTATTTAAGTATATTTTTAACCTATTGATATTGTTTGGGAGGCCTATCATACTAGAATTATGTTTAAAGCAAATTTCAAATCTGAAACTGTTAAAATTTCAGGTATCTTTACACTATTTGAGGTCTACATTTATTGCTGGCTCATAGTTAATTATAAATAGTTAACTATATGGAAAATAGTTATTGTTAACTATATATGGAAAATAGTTATTGTAACTTAGTTTCTAAAATTTGAAATTATAAAATTGTATGCATCTATTAAGGTTTTGTTATTTAGAGTACTTGGGAAATTCTAGTACACCATGTTATATAACAAGTATTGCAATGAGGATTCATACAGTTTGCATATTAAATAGTCAATCTCATTTTTGTATTTTAAAAATGATAATATCATATTAGATAAATGAATCAAGGTTGCAGTATTATCTGATGCAATTATACAAGTGTGTAATCTGATTTTTTTTCCACAGTGAACATTGATATACCAGGAAAAGGTGGTAGATGTTAAAGTAGAAAATATGCTCAGTGAGCGTAGAATTTATTTCTAGTTAGGCTTCAGTTGAAATAGCAGATTTCAGTTGATAATGTTTAGCAGTTTGTCTGCTGCACTTAAAACTAACTTCTATCTTTGGCTACTTATATACATATACATATGAAAGAAGAAAAGTTCATACAATTATTAATGTCTTTTAGGTAAGTATTTTAACAGAATTAATTTTGTATTTAAATATTCATTGAATTACTCTGTCGGTAGCATAACTTATAATATTATATTTACTTAAGTATTACTGTCTTCTCTGTAGAACCCCAAATCTCAGGAGCCAGTCACACTGGATTTCCTTGATGCAGAGTTAGAAAATGATATTAAAGTTGAGGTGAGTGCATTCAGGATGAAATATGACCTCAAGTCTGACACTGGAGTCTTCCATTTACAAGTTCCTGATCATAGCTATAGCATGGAAATCCTGCACCACTGTCCTCATCCCCAAAATTATTCCCATGAGAAGAAAAAAATATTTGAGTGTGGCCTTAGTTATTTTTTTTCTTTCTCATTTAACATGTTTTGTCGAGGGTAGATGAGGTGAAGAGGAAAGAGAAATGAATGGAGAGAGGCAGGGTAGGCAAATGCAGTCATAATATTCCATGTACATACGAGAATATGGAACAAGGTCACTTGAGGGGCAATTAGGTTGGGAGAAATGTAAGAAAATGCTGGAAGTGGTAACACTTGTTTGTACTCACAAACTGAAATGTTGAATTGAAACCTTTGTAGACAACTACTTAAAGATAAAAATTAATGTTTTAGATAGAGCGTAACTCTTTCAATGCAAAAAAATACATTTTAGTAAAAAAAGTAGAGTTTTATGATGCTGTGAATTTGAGAGGAGTTTGAGGGGATCTAACCATCCCATCAAGTGACAGGAGAGTAAACTGGGAAAGAAGCTGCAATGCCTGAGGACACTTTGAAAGCAAATGTCTACTATATTTGGAAGACATAGTTACATGTCATTTCCTCTGAGGACCTTTAGTTATCATAAAAATAATTATTTTAATAATAAAGATAACTTATTAAATGGATGTCAAGGGCCTATGAAATGTTAATATCATTATCATTATTATGTTGGTTGTCCAAAGGCCATGTTTGAAACACAAAGAGGATAAATAATCTATACCTACTCAGAGAGTAAGCAGCAGAGCCAGGCCTTTACCTTCTAGATCACAGACTTTTAGCATTGTTCTGCTGGATTATTTGTTCCTTTACACATTTACTTCATCATATAGCCAGATGAGTTAATTTTTTCATCAGCAGAGTGCTGGAGTGTTTTAGTTGATTAAAGAATATTTGTTGTAAAATATTTGGTATAATGATGTGAGATAAAGTCCCATGGTGAAGAGATTGGTGTCTTTCCTTTTACTACCATTGAGTCATCATCATAATCCAAATAGCACCTCTAGTCTCATTTTTCAACTCTCAAGCAACATATTGACTGAATAAAATAACATTAAGAATTTAGAAAAGGGCCTGGTTTGTAAAAAATTCTATTGTTTTTGAGCAACTCAGAATGGACATTCAACTTACACGAGGAACTTTTATTATCTGCTCTTCACTTTCAGATGCGAAATATTTTAACCAAGGTAGAATCATCAAATATTCTTCAAATGTAAATGATGTCTTTCATCACACCATTTTTTTCACTTATGTATACTCCAAACCTCTAATATGAAACATTAATGTTATACAAAATGAAAAAGAAGTTAAAGGAAATTCTGAGAATTTCCCAGTAGGACTGTGATATTTTGTGAATGTATGTGACTTGATTATTTTTAAGAATTTGGGAGACTGCCCTAAGTAAATTAAATTGTAATCAATTAAATCTTCATAGGTCTTTAAAATTCTGTCTCCTATACTTTTAGGGGGTACTAGTTATAATAAGTAAAAATAATGAGAAGTAATTATACTTTCTCATATGAACTTGGTTATTTGAGTGAAATAGACATATGAGCTATGCCATATTGTTAATTTTGTAAATACATATTATTTCTAATTCAGTGAGTATTTTTCTGGATTTTGATTGACTGTAGAAGGGGGGTTACAATTTTGTGGCTACTTTCACTTAAATATTGCCAGCCAAATGACAAGTGATTACTCTTTTGATAGTAATGTTTCAAATTAGTGAATTAAACTAATTACTCATTCTCCTTTAGATTCGAAATAAGATGATAGATGGGGAGAGTGGAGAAAAAACCTTCAGAACTCTGGTTAAATCTCAAGATGAGGTAAGAATTAATTCAGGCTTATTCTTGTAATTGTGTATAAAAAATGGTTGATGTTAGTAATCTAACTTTCTATTACTCTAGCCTTTTCTTATAAATAGGGATGTCTTTAATAACACAATTCCCTTATTTCTCAAGGTACTTCTTTATCTGGAGGATTTCATTTGGATTTTTTTTCTGGTATTGTGCTCTAATTCTGGGTTAGATGCTACTTTGGCTGACCTTTTAATATTTGAGCCATGCCTTCCAGCCCTGCTTCTTCTTATTTGGGAGATGAAGTTTCAAGGGCTTTTCTTTTGGGGCTGGCTTTGTACCTTGATCCTCTGCATCATAGCCTCCTGAGTAGTTAGAATTATTCCCATAAGCCACCAATAGGGGGCCAAGATATTTTTAACTACTTACATTTTTGAAATAAAGTTGTTTAGGCATTTCAATGTATTCCTATAGCATTAACAATGTGCTCTTTAAAAAACCATATCTGAAAGCTGTGTTTTATGCCTAGATAGATGGTTTATGACTATAAACCATATGTCTTATGACTATAACATACTGGGTTGAGAATGTGGCTTAGTGAAATGTGCCTTGTCTAGCATGCAAAAGAGACTGAGTTACAATCGAAATAATGAAAATTTTAAGGTTACATTTAATAGCTGTATTATCCTGAATCACATGTGTAGATATTCTAATTATTATAGTCCACATTTCAGCTTTTTGTTTTAATTTTTCTGGCTTGATTTATCTCTTTTCACTGTTTATGTGCCTTATTTTTCTTTTGTTTTCTTTTCTTTACTTTTTGTTGGTTGTGGTGCTTTAACTCTGGGCCTGGGTGCTGTCTCTCAACTCTTCAGCTCAAGGCTAGCACCCTACCATTTGAACCACAGCACCACTTCCAGTTTTCTGGTGGCTAATTGGAGATTAGAGTCTCAGGGACTTTCCTGCTGGGCTGGCTTTGAATCACAATCCTCAGATCTCAGCCTTCTAATTAGCTAGGATTACAGGCATGAGCCACCAGCATCCGGCAATGTACCTTATTTTTCTACTAGTAAATCTGAAATTCATAAACAGCCAAACCATACTCTGAATAACCACTGAGGTCTATGATAAACTTCCATTGCTCAGTACTCCAGAGAAACTTAGAAATGAGCAGAATACCTGTCCATCTTCAGTCATATAGAGAAACAAAACAGATATTTGCTTATTTGAAATAGTCCCAAACTCTAGAAAACTCACAAACTTTTGTGCCTGAAAGTTCAAGTTTTTATACATAATTCATATATTTTGTCTTAAAATCTTTTTCTTTGGTGGAGGGCAGTAAAATAATTTGAACTCAGGGTATTGTGTTTACTTGAGCCTCTGTGTGTGTGTGTGTGTGTGTGTGTGTGTGTGTGTGTGTGTGTGTGTGTTGATTATTTTGAGGTAGGAATTGCTTTTCATCAGCATGCACTTGAGCCATAATCTGCCTACTTTTAGGATTTGATTCATCACTGGGATTACAAATGTATACCACCTCCCTCTGCAGAGATGGAGTTTTGTGATCTTTCTGCCTGGGCTAGCCTGCAGTCTTTATCCACACAGTCTCAGCATTCCATGCATTCTGGGAAGACACGTGCTTCCCCCTGACCCAACTACACATTGAGAAGGAATCTGATGAACTTTCCAGCCTAGACTGGCCTCAAACTACATTCCTCCCATTGCCAGCCTCCCAAGCAGCTAGAATTATAGATGTGAGACACAAATGCCCAACAACATCCTTTACTTTTTTAGATGTAGATTTTCCTTTCTAACACTTCAGAAGATCATTCTCTAAGATGGGCCTAGGAAACATAACCTCTGCTATTTCCAGAAAACAAGAACATGTACATAATTATTAAAATATCACCTCTACCTCACAATGTTAGCTCATGACAGTAATCTTAACAACTGAGGAGGCTGAGATCTAAGAATCACAGTTTGAAGCCAATGCAAGCAGGAAAGTCCATGAAACTTTTTTTATTGGGTGTGTGGGGGGGGGTGTTTCAGGTCATGGGGCCTGAACTCTGGGCCTGGGTGCTGTCCCTCAGCTCTTCAGCACGTGGCTAGCACTCTACCACTTGAGCCACAGCGCCACTTCTGGCTTTTTTTTTCCTGCTTATGTGGTGCTGAGGAATCGAACCCAGGGCCTCATGCATTCAAGGCAAGCACTCTACCACTGAGCCACCTTCCCAGCCCCAGAGCCACCTTTCCAGCCCCAAAACTCTTGTCTCCAATAAACTACCCCCCAAAAAAAGATGGAAATGAATCTGTGGCTTAAGCAATAGAGTGCTAGCCTTGAACCAAAAATACTTAGGGACCCCATCCAGGCCCTGAGTTCAAGCCCCAAGACTGGCACCAAAAACAAAAACAAAAACCACTCTAGTTGCTTGTGATTTAAAATTTCCTCAGAAAGCCATCTTGTCAAATTTACTAAGAATGGAAAAATAAATTTCTGGATTTAAGAAACTAAGTATAAAATATGTTTAAAATTATTTATTTATTTGCTTTATTATGACTCAAACAGAAAAAAGATTATGATTTCTATTACAATATTGAGAAAATTATTTAATATTTTATTTCCTAAATTTAATATTTTTAACCTGTTGGACAACACTAGTTTGTCATGTTTTATTATGACTAGTAGTAAATATAAAAACATTGTCTTTTAAATTTTGTTTATTAGATCATAAACCTCTTAATCAACTTGCCTATATCCTTTCAATTCAACACAGAAACACACACTTACACAAATGCATGCACACAATCACATACATGGCCATACAGGTGTTTGTTGTACAGGAGCAAAATTATGTCATAAAAATGGATTTAATGAACTGGATTGTGGATTATTAACAGAGTAATTGCCCAGTGTTTGTGAACCCCAAAACTTGATCCTCAGCATTGTCCAAACAACAACAACAAATAAAAATGATAAAGCCAAAGCAAAACAACAAAAAATTCTGTGTATTTGGTATGTTTGTCTTTACCTCGCAAATTTAAGTACCTTACCTCTACTTTAAGGCTTATTTGTCAGCAAGTTATGGGAAATAATATCTACTCTAGATGTTGTAATAAATAAGACATAACAGTAAGGTACTGAACAAAGTGACTAATTCTGAGTAACACTTCTGTAAATGTTATAGTGGTGAAGGTGATAATATGGATAACGTAAAAAAATCTTATTTGCTATCAAATAGAAGAAAGGTTCTATATTCATGAAGTTCTTTAACTCTGGGCTTCTTTTTCCTAGGAGATCTAATGTTTGTCTAACCGTCAGTGACACTAACTAGCTTCTTATAATTGTCATCAGAATGTCAATAGTGGTTTAACAGTAATATGCCAATCATATTTGAATATAGAGAAGCTGACCGCATTCACTTTCTGCTGCTATAATCATTTGCTCTTACATATATGCAAATATGGAAATATTTGAGCCTTGTCCCATATTTTATAGTCTTATTTCATTATTAATGTTTTCAGGAAATGTTGCTTTCAAGCTTTTGGAATGAATATTAACATTTTATCCTGATAAGTTCTGTATCTTTCACAAACATTATATATGTATTTGTGAATACTAGATTAAAATTTCTTTGAACAATTAGTGTGTACTAAAAAAACATGAATGATTCATATATAAAACATGTCTTGAGTGCAGAATATTAGTAGAAAGAGGAGACAAATGGAGGAGAAGGGAGATAATTATAGCCAAAATATTTTAGGCACACCTGTGAAAATAGAATGATGAAGCTTGTTGAAACTGCTTACAGAAGAGAGGGGAATGATGGAGGGACAAGTCTGTTTAAGGAGCATTGTATGCATATATGGATGTAACAAAACGAAACTCCGCTCTGCAACTAAGTCATGCTACTAAAATGAAAATATGGGTGAAAGTGTCATCATTTATGTACTTAGTGTGTTCTATAATTTTATTTTATATACATATGAAACACAATAAGTATGTAGAATATATCATGTATTTGTGTATAAGTAGTGTATAAGTGGTGATGGATCACAAGATTTATAAGATGTTATTACATACTAGAGGTGTGGCTTAAGTGGTAGAGCACCAACATGAGCAAAAATGCCAAGGTGTAGGGCCCTGAGTTCAAACCCCTGTACCAGAAACAAAATTGTTAATAATAATCTGTTATAAAATAGCTCTACTCTTTATAGGAAATTATGCAGATAAATATGAATACATGTGAAGGTGATAATAACTATACCAAACTATTTTTTTCTAGAGATATATTGACAAAGGAAACAGGACATACACATGGACACCAGTCAATGGCACAGACTACAGGTAATTAATGATATTAACGAGCTTATTGGCTTCTTAACCTCAGTAGACAATTTTTAACAGTTAGATGTTGTCTTTGTATTTTCATAACCTGTTTTCAATATAATGTTCATTAGAGAACATTAGTGGGGACTGGTGACTCATGCCTGTAATCCTAGCTACTCAGGGGCTATGCTTGGAGGTAGAGGTTAAAATCAGCCTGGATAGAACAGACTGTGAAACTCTTATCTCAAATTAGTTACCAAAAAACCCTGAAGTGGTGCTGTGACTCAAAATGTAGAGCCCTAGCCTTGAACCAAAGAAGCTCAGGAGCACAATCCAGGCCCAGAGTTAAAAAATTACTGGAGTGTTATTTATAGGATATAAAGATGGGAAAAAAGATAACAATATAAAATTTAGAAACAGAAATATATGTGACATAAATCCACATACTTTGAATGATTATCTAAGTAATAAAATTTTGTGAAATCTTTATAATAGTTTGAACTTACTACTTCCTCTGACTAAATTTTTAAGTTTAAGTCATTTTTAACTCATTTTGCTTACATTACATTTGAGTTGCAAATTGACATAAAGTTAAAGTGTATTTTCTTGACATGGTATTTGACATAAAGTGTATAGTTGCTCTCATTTATTTACCCACACAAAATAGCTGTTCAGTGACGTCCCGATCCCTCTCGTTGGCTGGGCCTTGGAAAACTGGACAGCCCTAATATTCAATAATCTTTTTTCAAAATATTGTTTCTTCAAATTTGTTGAGCTTCTCCTTTACTTTCTTGACTATCAAGAAAGCTCACTGCTTTCCCTGTGGTTCTGAATTTTCAAAACCCTTAGATTCATATGAATATAAGCTGTCTTTGTATGGTCTCTGTATCTGTCTCCTCTCTTTCTCTCTCCTTCCTTCTCTTCTTCCTTCTCTTTCTTCTTTCTTTCCCCCTCTCCCTGCAGTCTCCTACATTCACATTGATCAATGTTGCTCATACTTTTGCCCCTCAAATCTTCCATGGATACCTTCTGGTTAACTACATCATGCTCTTTTCCAGTCTTTATAAACACTGCTACTACTCAGCCTCAGGATCTCTGAACCTGAAGTCATTTCTCTCTATAATGAATTTCCAATACTCATATCCTCATCTTTTTCATGCTTTTGTGTGCTTTTTGTTTTCTTTTTTTTTTGGGGGGGGGGAGTGGGGAAGGGTCAGTTGTGGGACTTGAACTTTGAGCCTAGGCACCATCTTTCAGCTCTTCAGCTTAAGGCCACTCTACCACTTGAGCCACAGCGCCACTTCTGGTTTTCTGAGTGGTTTATTGGAGATAAGAGTCTCACAGACTTTCCTGCCTGGGCTGGCTTTGAACCATGATCTTCAGCTTTCAGCCTCCTGACTATCTAGGATTACAGGCATGAGCCATGGGTGCTTGGCTTCTTTTTGTCATCTTATAAAGGCCTTTTCTAATCATTTCATTCAAGTAGTAAGTACCTCATTATATTCCCTGTCTCTCTCTATAACACCTACCATGATTTGTCATTTTACCTTATCCACAACACACTTCACCTATTTAGAGATTTATTTCTATTATTTACCTTTTGTTTTTTTTTTACTAGCAATTATTAATAGAGCAGGGGATGTTCCCTGCTTCATTCATGTCTTCATTACCAGCTTCTAAGAATTACTAACTTCTAACATATAATAGGATCAATATAAAACTATATAGAATGTGTTTAATTTGAAGAATTTGAGAATTTTTATATTGAATGAGTTTCTGATCTTCTTGAACTTGTCAAATTATACAATGATATCCAAAACTTTGGCAGCAGCAATGAACTGAGATGTTTTAGGCTTACATGTGATGACTATTATTGAAATGGATAGGTTCTTTTTCTTTTGCTCCTTCCTCCTGACTCTATTGCACACATATAACTTAGTGGTGGTGTGGGAGAGGGGAAGACTAGAAAGTTGGGGACACCTGCACTTTGTTGTTACCACAGGACTTGTCTCCAAGAGGAGATGGTCAAGTCTTGACATCATGCTACTCTACATGATAGTTCTTCACTTCCTTCAGCTCCAGGATTTAGTTAGAAATGCCAGAAGGACTATTTTAAATATTCAACATCTATTAATTCCTAGCTCTAACTTTTACATAGACATTTCTATATATTTCCGCAATCTTTATGGATTTCCTATTCTCCTTCCTTTATGTATTTTTTTTTATTATTGTCACCTTTCAGTTTTTGGATACACCTGTCATGACATATGAAAAAAGAGAAAGTCTGAAAACCTTTGGCCTTTAAAGATTTGATAATTCAAATAAAAAGTATTGTGTGCACAATGTGGAAATGTGCACTTGCCTTAGTTGCTTAGATAAATAAAATCTGCATTAGAAGCACTTCATTATTTGACCTTGAAAATGAGGAAGGTGTGAGGTGATTCTTTTGACATCATAAGGCTGTCTGGGAGCTGTTTAAACTACTCCATTATATTTTATTGTGTTTTTATTGTCTTACAATTTACATTATCAAACTCTTTACCTTATGCACAAAATGATATCCAGAGTGTTAACAAGATTGTTGTGGTTTTTCAAGTTTAATATTGCTTCTTATTCGCAGACATTAAATTAGTAATTCCAAAGCTGATATGTACATCACACGTTCCTAACCTCACCTGTCTGCCCTGTCAGATCTGGCATTTCTGTCGATGCATATTTCACTGTTTTCTGAAGAGATTCACCTTTCTCACATTCTATATTTTCCTCACATCTTCCCTTCCCAAGTTTCTAGCTTTAAAATCCTTAAACTAGTTCTAGTCCCATTATAATTATTTCCTTGAATCTCTTCACAAATAAATTAGCAAATAGTAATTGGAATAAAATTTAATATTTAACCTCAAGAAAAAAATACATTTGGACTGAAGGTGATATCAAATTTCAGACAGCTGGTTTCTGTCAGCTAAAACTTTGATCAATCTTGGGTACTGTATTTTTAAATACCATAACAAATCATTTGATTGAATATTTTCTCTCTTTTAATGAAGAGCTTACTTTGATGGAAATAAATAATGGAGTTGAAAATTAGACTATGTCCATTTAACCTAATTGACTATACTTACATGAGTCACAGAAACCTTGTATGAGCTCAACCATCCAACCATCCACTTTATTACACTTGCCTCTAATAGGAAATAAATCAGCCTTCATATATTAATTTTATATGGAAAGAAAAGACAATATTTCATATGAGAAAATGCTGGGACTGTGTCCTACTTGGTAATATATGAAAGAAACAACTGTAGGCTTTAGTTGAAAAAATAAGTATAGCCATTTTTCTTTTGAATGGTTGTGGCAATGAATAACATCACTCATATAGGCCAGTACAATGTGATTTTGATATCCCAGTCTTAATACTTCTATTGTATTCCTCATGGGCTTCCAAACTTCTTTGTGTGTGTGATCCATGAGATGTAACCCACATAGTGACAGTGTCTCAGTCACACAATAGAATGTTATCAGTTTTAACTATAAGTTTCTCTTAGCAATAAATGGCGATGGAGCAATAAAAATGCCCTAATTTCCCTAGAGAAATTTGTAGGAGACAGTCTTCAAATGCTCAGTAATTCTGCTCTCCATTTTATAAATGGCAAGTGAATTGTGAAAGGTCATTCTTGCTTTCAGACTGATTGCATTGCTTATTTTAATTCTTCCTTCTGCTTCCACTTGAAGTTATCGATAAAAAAATGCAGAAATTTTCATTAACTCTACATAACATTTTATTTCCCTGACCTTTTCCCATAAGGAAAGTCTGTGAATTACTTAATGATTGTAAAAGTTTTGGGAATTGGACGTAACAAGCCTTGACTCATTTTGCTATCTTTTCTGCATAATTAAATTTTAACAAGTAAACCTTGCCTTTCTTATCATTATATTTCCATTTACCATTTATATTCCTAAAAAGGAAAATCTGAACATGTATAATCTATCTTAGTTTATATTGTCCATGTCTATATAGCATATAATGAGACTCTATGTTTCTATCCTCGAAGCTGGGAATACAGAGGTTTGAATGAGTTAAATGATTTACAAAATGTCTAGGAACAACAAAATGCCTACAAATGCACGTCTTTTCCCCCAAACCAATACTATTTGCAGGAAATCGTGGAAGTAAATGTCCAGTGACACAATTGGCAATGTCAAGAATCTTTTTGTAAGAAATTGCATTGGATATCTTAGAACTATGGTCATATTTTTCACAAAGTAGCTTTCTTTTCATGGTAGCTTTCTTCTAATTTTGGGGTAGGAAAGGTCATTTGCAACTGCAAATGAGGACATAGGATCATTAGTTGTGTCTCCTTTGAGTTTTAGCCATTGTGAAAGATTACATTTTATATGTTACATATTACATATGATTAGCATAGAGTTGGATTATCGTGGACTACTGGATTGTTTAACAGTTCTAAACATCACAAGTCTTATTAATTAGACATTTCATAATAAGTAAGGTTATCTGCTTTGCAGCTTTTTATTTTAACCAATTATTAAGGTGTTAGATATAATGACAGGCATGTTTAAAAATCTTTGTTTTCTAACCTGTTCTGAGTTTGTTCTAAGATTTGCACTCAAATGCTCTTCTATTTAGGACATCTAGCTGGAGATAGATTAACCCCATGGGCTTTGTAAACTATGGAGCTGAAGATATATTTCCTGTTGTATATAATAAATCTACTTAATCGTATGGGATATGCACACTAAATCATTTGTACAACTAGTCTTGCAATTGTGTAAGAGGCAATGAAACACAGAGATAATCCCTACACTAATGCTATAAAATATCTGAATTTACCCGTCAGCAGACACGAGGGAACTTGACTAAGAATCATAGTTTTAAAATAGTAGGCATTTAATCCCTCAAAAGAATACATTCCCAATGTCTGTATGCAACAATGAAATGCTAGCAATAATACTTCTCCATTTATGATTTTTCTTTGAAAAATATAGACCATATATTAATGAGAGAGTATCCAAAGTGGTATGACATGTTTGCTTAAATATATGTGTATAGCTAATGGTATTCTTTTTTGACAATATTAATAGTGTAAAACATTCAGGAGGATAGTAGGGAACCTAAAGCTTTCCTTAGATAACTTATGACTGCAATAGGTAGCTTATTTTCCATGTTTCTTGATCCTCTACCCTTTAGAGGGCTATATGACTACATGGCAAGAACATAATTAAGTACTCTATTTGAGGAATGCATTTTCTTGTCAAAGAAGTATGTCCTTTCCTTTCTATGAGGAAGACCTTTGGATTTTCCCATGATCTTGATGTGTCTCTTTTTTTTTAAGTTATGTTTCATTTTTGTTTGTTTGTGTTTATGCTTCTCTTGTTTCTATTGCAGTTTGGCCTTGGTATTACCAACCTACAGTTTTTACTATATAAAAGCCAAAATAGAAGAGACAATAACTCAGGCCAGATGTAAGTACTGTGAAAGCAACTTGAGGGTCTCTTTGTTATCTCTTAGTCTCAGATGTTTAAATACGTCTACATTCTAGAATACCCAAGGCTTACACATTTTAGTAGGTGCTGCTGTTAACAAATATACAGCAATGATTCTAACCCATTCCAAACATGCAAGGAACAAGAAATATTCTATATGGATAGAATATAAGCAGGTACTCCAGTCTCACTGGCAGTCCCCATCACCCTTCCCTGCCTTGCTATGTGCTTGTAGAATCATTGCAATGCTGTGTCCTCTGTCACTGTCATTTTAAGGGTGTGCTAACTGGTGTGAAATGTTTTAAATGCTAATTATCAACATAGTTTCTATTCATGGCACTGTGCAAGTAAAGCTTTTCCTTTTCTTATCTTTCCTTTTCTTCTTCTTTTTTTTCCTTTGTGCATTTGGCCAGAATGATATTGTGCTTGGCAATTAACTTCTTTCCATAATCAAATTAATGTCTCAGTAACTCAAATGGATTAGTTTCTTTTAAAGCATCATGTGGAATGTGGAGTAATTATTAAAACACTAGTGCATATTTCAAGCTGTTGTTAATACTTATTTTGTTTTGGGGGAACTAGATTTAGTAAAGTAAAATGACCATCATATCCTTTGAACAAAAGGATATTAAATTAACGGTCTAAAATTTTTCTGTTAGGACTAAATTAAAAATCCACATCTGATATTTTTTTATGTCCAACTTCAAAGTAAATTCAGTTTCCTTCATTTCTGTCAGGATTTTTGTTGTCGTTGTTTTGCAGACCTACTGTACCTATCACAATATAAGCTATACATTTAAATTTGTACTTTCATATAACAGATATGATGGTCCTTTAACAAGCTGCAATTTTGCATGAGCTAATACTTTACTTGGTAAAGGAGGGGATGAGTAGTGAGTCTCTGGTGATTGGTACGTGATTCTGTTAGTTCATAGGTTGACGTCCTTAGTATTTTAGCTGCCTTAGCTGCTTTGCCAAACAGACATTTGAAATAACTTTAGTAGTGAAGGTATTCTAGTAAAATCGACAGACATACCTCCCAGCCTTCAAAACTATGTGTCTTTCTTTCCAGACTACAACTGTACATAAATGAACCTTTGATCTATGCACAATATTTTTATTCAAGAAAGGCATTGAATAAAATATTGTTTGTGACCCCCCTTTGCTTTACCCTCTTTTTTTTGTTTCCCTGCTTTCTCTTTCTGATGGATTTACAGCAAAAAAGGGAAAAATGAAGGGCAAGTATTTTCTTGTTGCTCAATTTCTTTCTGTTTAGTACATTTGACATTTCCACTGATATTTCCATTCCTATTGGATCTTACCCTCTGTGCTTCTCATTTGCTGGGTTTTCCTCCATGAGCACTCAAACATAAGCAGCAAAAATGAGGGAAAAATATACTTGTATTTTCATATGCAACTCAATTCACATTGAAGATTCTATCAATCTAATATAAAGAATGTTATTAATTCATTAAGTGCAATCAAAAGTTTATTAAAATCATGTTCTTTATAATTCTAGTATACTCTTTTCTATGGATATTTTAGATGTAATGCCTCATGTTTTGTAGATATTAATCTCTTTTCTAAACAAGTATTTGTAGGGCTAGTAAATGGACAATGTTTTATCAGCTATATTTGTTGTGATAATGAAGTTAATCTATAGTATGATTTTATTATTATATTGGGAAGCATTGAGGACCTTTACAGTTCTTTTTTTGTTGTTGTTGTTTGTTCGTTTCAACTTTAGGATGTAAGTAGTCTAGTTTTAATTTTTCTTACTAGGTACTCTTTCTAATGTTTTCACACTGTCATAGACTCTCTCCTAGATGATACATTCTGTATTGATCATCTAATACTGTAACATTGTCTTCACAGACTCAGAAACCCTGAAGCCAGATAATTTTGAAGAATCTGGCTACACATTTTTAGCACCAAGGTTGGTTTGATTTTGTTGTTCTTTGTTGAAACTTGCATTGCTGGGTAAAGCCTTCAAAAAAAAAGTTCCCAATTCAGATAAGGCTGTCCATGGCTAGTTCTATGTCAGAGTATGAAATTGAAGTGAAGATGAATTTAAAACAGGACAAGTGGGCTGTATATTCATCTTAATATTTGCTGAGCTCTGTGTTCCAGATAATATGCTAAGTCATTTTTGCAATGATAAATAAGACAGATGTAGGTTTTGATTTCTGTGGCACACACACACACACATACAGGAGATTTGTATATTTACAATTGATTGTGTGTGAACACACATTCAAATGTATCATCTATAATGTATATATGTATATTCTATGTACAATCAGGTATACATAGATATGTATGTATCATCATATATATGCATGCATATGTGTATTTATGCAGATGTCTGGAATGTTTGGTTTTATAATGTTTAATCCCATAATTAATGTTTGATGTTTAATCTCATAATGAGATTAGCCTTCTGAAAAAACAGATTTTATTTTATGATATTTTTATACCAGTCCTGGGGCTGGATTTCAGGGCCTGGAGACAGTCCCTGAGAATTTTTTGCTTAAGGCCACCACTTGATCCATAGCTCTACTTCCAGCTTTTTTGTTGGTTTATTGAAGAAAACAGTCTCACAGGCTTTCCTGCCCAGACTGGCTTTGTACCACAGTTGTCAAAGCTCAGACTCCTGAGTAGCTATGATGACAGGCATGAGCCAGTGGCACTGGGTGGAAAATACATGTAATATAATTTGTTGTCTCATAAAATTTTACATATTAACAATCTTTTTACTCAGTTATATTCTTCTCCCCACTTAATCTCCTTTCTCCACTGATAATATAATATTTAGCTTATTTCCTTAATTTTTTTTTTTTTGTCAGTTGTGGTCTTGAACTCTTAGCCTGGGCATTATCGCTGAGCTCTTCAGCTCAAGGCAAGCTCTCTACCATTTGAACCACAGTGCCATGTCCAGTTTTCCGGTGGTTAATTGGAGATAAGAGTCTCAGGGACTGTCTTGCCTGAGCTGGCTTTGAACTGTGATTCTCAAATCTCAGCCTACTGAGTAGCTAGAATTACAGCTGTGAGCCACCAGTGCCCAACTATTTAGCATATTTCCATGTTCTTAAAATTATTTGAAAGTATTCAGACCTCCGTGTTCTTTATTTTTATTTATTTCCTCAACATTTGACCCAAACACTTATCAGTCTGTTTTAAAATGAAGGTAATTCCTGTTTATCTAAGCTTTTGTGTTTTTTTCACATTGTTCAGAACCTAAGGAGAACTTATAAAATTCTGAGTAACTCTTATTTCTGCATAAGCAGATTTCTGAATTCTGATTCATATTTTCTAAATGTCCCAGAACAAAATCTTAATTCGCTATAAGAATGTTAGTATATACTTTATATGTCTGGGTGAAAGTAGAACGTCAAGACATGCTTAACTGTTCTGAGAAGGAGGATGAAGGAGACAGATGGGGATGAGATTAATAGAATGCATTACATACATGTGTGGCAGTCTCATAAAGAACTCCTCCCAGGTACCAGTAAAAAGAAATCTCAGTAAAATAAAATATGTTAACATATAATGCATAAAAAATTCTAGTGAATATTTTACATTTATTTCAATTTCTTTATGAAACTATAAAATCTTTATAATTGATAAGCGTATGAGACAACCTAATATATATTGAGCACTAACTGTCCTGCTGTTTGGCATTTAGTATAGATTTCCTATAATTACTTCACCTACTCCTGACATGTTATTCTGCTTTTTTTGGGGGGGGGAGAAAGGGAGTCAGGGATCGGTTGTGGGGCTTGAACTCTGGGCCTGGGCTCTGTCGCTCAGTTCTTCAGCTCAAGGAGAGCACTCTACCACTTGAGACACAGCGCCACCTCCGGCTTTTCTGGTGGTTAATTAGAGATAAGGTTCTCACAGAATTTTCTGCCCAGGCTGGCTTTGAACCGTGATCCTCAGATCTCAGATCCTCAGCTTCCTGAGTAGCTAAGATTACAGGCATGAGCCACCAGCACCCAGTCTTATTCTGCTTTAATAGAGATAAAAAAAAATTCATATAAGCAAGAAGTTCATGCAAGGTCATGTATAACCAAAAAAAAAAGTGCTTCTTATATTCTACTTTCCCTGGAAACATTCTAACATCATAATATGTTTTTCTTTTCCAGAGAATACTGCAGTGATCTTAAACTATCAGACAATAACACTGAATTTCTTTTAAACTTCAATGAGTTTATTGATAGAAAAACACCAAACAACCCATCATGTAAGTATGTGTTAATTTTTAATAATTTCCTCTATATGGCTGTATCCATACCCATTAAGTCTTTGTTCATATGATCTTCTCATATTATATGATTTTCATATTAGTAAACTAGTATGTTGGTTTATTTATTTTGTGAATTATAATTGTAAGATGTAACCAACTGATCATTTTGAATATTGAAACCATCTGATCCTTGATTTTATGTTTTAAAGATGTCATTTATTCTTAATTGAGATTCAAAGTTTGAATTAATCAATATTTGAATGAAGTTAAATGCAAATAGAATATTCTCACCAGAGCTCTTCTCAAATTTAGGAAACTGAATTTTAAATGATTTTTCAAGATTTTTTTTATTACATTGCTCCAGTTAAATAGAAGAAAACAGATACCTCTTATAAATGTATTTATATCTTCCAATTTGTATGAGTTTTATATGGAGGTAATACAAAAGACAACAAACATAACATCATTCAATCATCTTTATGTTTGAACTACTTTGATTGCAATGAACTTTGTATCTTAAAATTGTAATCAAAGAAGCAAATCAAGTAAGAACATTACAAATGAAATAAATTTGTTAACTATTCCATTTGTTAACTATTCCATTAAATTGGATATAAAAAGTATGAAATAATTTTATTCTCCTTTCCAAGATAAGTTTATCCTAATTATTTCTCATGACATGTAAAATAAAACTATAGAACATATTGGAAATTGCAATCAATTTCACACTGTCTATTGTTCCTAAAAAAAGTGTAGATATGTTTAAACAAGGTGCTTTAGGTCAAATCCATACTTACCTGTTTTGTTCCTTCATTCACCATGTGCTTTGCTTCTCCTTAAGCTTAGTAGGAAACAGTTGAGATGACTATGTAGTCATGTGATGAACTAGAAATTGTAGTAAACAGCCCACATCTGTAAAAAAAAAAAAAAAAAGGCATTTATATACTGGTAAATGTTATAGATTTCTTGCCATATTATTTTTATCTTTTAAAATCAAATAATATTTGAAACTATGTAGAAACTAGGCATTGTTGAATAAAATCTGTGATCTAAATACTTTAAGGAGTACAGTCATGTTTGTTTTGGTTTGCAAAAGAAATTGTATTCAATCCATTAGTAAATTACAATTCTCACTAAAGTTTAAAGTAATCTACTACTTTAATTTTTGAAAACAGCAATGATATTTATTTCATTATTGTTTGAATTTTTGAAATATGTGAGTATAAACAGGAAATATCCCCCTTTCTGTTTTAGGTAATACAGACCTGATTAATAGAGTCTTGCTGGATGCAGGCTTTACAAATGAACTTGTCCAGAATTATTGGAGTAAGCAGAAAAACATGTGAGTATGTGTTCCTATTAATTACAAAATATGTGCTGTACATTTCATTTTAGCTGTTCTCTGGGAAATTTTTGATAATAGGCTTCACAAATGTAAAATTTGTTATTTCCCTTTAACAATAATTTCTCATGAAAATGACTTCACAATTGTTGACAATTTTCATTTTCAATTAAAGAGTATATTTCAGCACTAATATCTGTCATTACTCAACTTTATACATCACAGGGAGTAAATTAAACTCTGAATATTTACTTGGCTTTATAGTAGCATCTTGCATACATATTCTTAAGAAGACATCTTCTTCTCCATCCCTTTTCCAGTCAGTCACTGAATGCTATTTCTCCTTACAATGTTTTCTTGTTCATAATCTACACCTGAGAATCCCATTTTAAGAAATCACAGAAAAGGGTAATTATGTTTTTATTGCTTCCAGTCTGTTCTCTGTGCGAAGCATACCTGCCACAATCTTCTAATGCATAACTCATTTTAAGATAATGATGGTACCCTCAGCTAAGTGTGGTACTAGCACTTGAGCCCTGTCAGGAGCATCCTGAATTTCAGGCCAGCGCAGACTACATACTGAGACCCTGACTCTAGTGTGGATTTCCAAGTCAACAATCACAAATGGGCCATTCTTTAGAAACTTGTATTTGAAACTTGAAATTCTCCTCTTTTTTGGGGGGGTGGGGGGGAGGAAGAGAGGCCAGTGTGGAGCTCTGGGCCTGGGCACTGTCCCTCAGTTCTTCAGCTCAAGGAGAGCACTCTACCACTTGAGACACAGTGCTAATTCCGGCTCTTCTGCTGGTTAACTGGAGATAAGAGTCTCACAGACTTTTCTGCCCAGGCTGGCTTTGAACCATGATCCTCAGATCTCAGCCTCCTGAGTTGCTAGGATTATAGGCGTGAGCCACCAGCACCTGGCAAATTCTCCTCTTTCTCCCCTTATGCCTTGTGTATTCCTTTCACCAAACACCAGTATTCTTCCCTAGTTTCCCTATAAATACGTTTTACTCTATAGATGATGATGTCTTGTTTGCATTGTGGTTCCTGCTAACTCCTACTTGATTTTCAAAATGAAGCTCCTTATTTTCTATGACATAACATTCCTTTAGCACACTCCCTCTGAGTACTTACTCTGAGTACATGATTTTGCATTTCTACCTTGATTATTCTAAAAACTTATTTTTTTGTTGGGGGAGGGGGACGGAAGGTATATCACCAGCACCTAACATAATGTAAGGTAAGTTTAATTTAAAAAAAAAACAAGCAAAAATTTCTTTCTGTATTCTGTTTCAGCAAGGGAGTGAAAGCACGCTTTGTAGTGACGGATGGTGGGGTTACCAGAGTTTATCCCAAAGAGTAAGTTCAAAGTACATGTAGAAATTAAAGAAAGGACACAGGAATGATTTGTACGAGGGATCGGTACATTGTTACGTAAGGAAGCCATCTTCAGAAGAGAAGCCAATCATTGTCGATAGATTAAATCCATTTGAAATGTTTATATTAGCTCAATATTCCACTTTTTTGCCACATGATATAATAACATTTTAATGGTAATGTTGCCAGTCATATATTTGTTATAAAGTTTAAGAGAGTTTTAAATGACTCTTCTCCAAAAACACAACTAAACGAGTTCAGTGAGCATGCTTGTAATCTACAGCAATGTTAATGAGGCACTTACCATTTTCTCTGTTTATTTATGCATCTTCTCTCTGTTTATCGTAAGAACTGTCTTTGCAATGAACAGAGTAGTCGTCAAAGGTTATTTTTATTAATTAACCTTTTAACTGACTTATCCATGATTTCCTGACTAGAAAATAACAGAGTAAAACTAGGAGTCAGGTTTTTCTGATACTTAATATAATGTTATGTTGATATATTGCTTAGGAATGCATGTCACTTACACTATCAATCAACATTAACTCCATTAGACATACTGGAGTTGTAGACACATTTCTCAACCTCAATGTGTCCACAAAGAGAAAAGTAGGTTATCTTATAGTTTAAAGAATACAAATTATGAGCTATTTCCTCCTTAGGGCTGGAGAAAATTGGCAAGAAAACCCTGAAACATATGAAGAAAGCTTCTACAAAAGGAGCCTAGATAATGATAACTATGTGTTCACTGCTCCTATCTTTAACAGTAAGTATTCATTCTCTAGAAGTCATTTTCTTAGTTCCTTTTTAAAACAAATCATTGCTACTGCTTGCTCTCCCCAAATCAATACATTTAATGTTCACTGCTCAGAAGTGTCATTCATTATAAAGCATATGGTAGATGCAAAATATCAGGAAAACAGGAAAGACATTTATTTAGTTCAAGAGGTTAAAATGGTTACACAGCCAGAAGTCATCCAATAAGGATAGCTAGCATATCTAGCAGGCATGCATAATAAATAGAAACATATGTAGTTAATTCCTCATATCACAACTAATAAATTAAAAAATTGTTTAATGAATTAAATAAGGTATAGCAAATTGATTACCTGCATTTTTCAGTATTAATTCAGTAATTTGGTATTTATGAAAATTAAAAAAAAACATTTTAAAATACTTTATCTGTTTCTTTCTCTAAACTTTCCAATTTGCTTTTTCAACATACTTGAGCATAGGTACTTTTCCTTTTCTTTTTTGCAAATAATGAAACTGAAACTCAGAGAATTTCGGAGATTTGTCTGTGGACATAGAAGGTAAAGATAGCTTTAGGAAGCCAAGATTGCTCTTCTCTTTTCTCTTTAGCAGCCTCCCCCATGTGTTAGCAAAGGTTACAGAGCTGAGATTTGATGTGCAGACATTGTATTGTGGAACTAGATGCAACCATGATGTTTAATTCATGCCCACAAATAAATTAACCAAAACCATTTCTGAGACATTTCTAATAGATTAGTAAAACAAGGAAGAAATGACAAAGAAGAGGCCACACATCTCTTTATGAGCAGAACACCATCTCTAAAGAAAGAAGTTCAACAATATGATAGATCTTGATCTGTGTTTCTTTATTTTAGCAAGCGGGCCTGGTCCCTTTGAGTCAGGCATTATGGTAAGCAAAGCTGTAGAAATATCTATCCAAGGCAAGCTTCTTAAACCTGCAGGTAAGCATAGCCATCATACATGTGACTAAAATTAAATGTGACTATACATGTTTATGAGAAAGTTCATGAGAATACTCCAAACAAAATAAACTTGAAAGACTTATAAGTCTGCAAAAAGAATATAGCATATTATGAGTGACCAATGAAATTGGGACTCAAATCAAATGATACTATGAAGTTAATGACTTTTCAAAGAAGTGTATATGTGTATATGTGCTTGATAAAATATATGCACCAATTTGCTGTAATATTTAATATTTAAATATAAAAAATTAAATCTTGGATTGACCTAGCCATTCTGCTCTAGAAGTCTCTTCCCCTTTCAAAGATATATGCACAAAAGTATGGGCCAAGGGGAAACCTAAAAGTAATAATTGAACATAAAAGGTAAGTTTCTATCACAGAGAGAAAAAGTTAATTATGTTGTATCTATACATTAGGCACAATGGTGTCAAAGGGAACTAGGTAGTCTTGCATTAAAAATGTGTTTAGAACATGGGGAAAATTTTGGTAAAATAAATCAATCAAGCAAACCAAAACAAAATAAAAGTGTTCATTGATGAGAATTGGATATGTGCTAAAGTGGGAGAATACAATCACAATCAAATTGTAGCTATGAGGCATTTTTTTTTCAGGATACAATCCAGTATTGTTTATAGCTTAGAAAAGAGTGTGTCATTAGGAAAGCCAGATGGCAGAGGAGATAGAGACTGTTTCCTTGGAGGGCAGTGGTCTAATACGTGGAATTGACTTCATCTTTCACGTGTGCCTTCACTCCCTCAATCACTCATTTCTTATTTACCTAATCAGTTATTTCTCAGGTCTGCACCTGTGTGCCCCCATCTCCTACCAACTAACACACTAATCTATTTATTCTTTCAATATACATTTTTTAATCACTCACCGGATTCACTGGCTCAGTTCTTTAAAAGCTCAATTAGAATGAACTCAGATTATATATGCTTTATGTTTTTTCCATCAATTCCTATTTTTTAAATTAATTGGCTAGATAATAATTTAAGTACTACTAGTATTATTTTTTTAATATCAATCATTCTTTTTTTGTTGTGAAAATACTGTACAGAGGGGTTACAATTACGTGGGCAAGATAATGAGTACATTTCTTATCAAGCATTGTAGCCTCCTCCTTTGTTTCTCCTTCCCATCCTCCCCCTGCTCCCCCACCCAGATCCTCCCGCCCCCCCACACTTGCATTATTTCTTAAAGAATACTACCCCAGTACATTTCTGTAAAAAAAATTCAATCCAACATTTATTTTCCATTCTGTAAATTACCTAAGCTGTTAATAACAAATATTTCAAAAAATAAGATTTTTAATTAATTTGCAATTTCTTTTAGTTGTGGGAATTAAAATTGATGTAAATTCCTGGATAGAGAATTTCACCAAAACTGCTATCAGGGATCCGGTAAGATAATATTTGAAATTCTTATGCTAATCATAGTAGCTTCAAAATTAGTGAAAAAGAAAGGGTGTTATACCCTGGAAAGGTAAATGTGCAATGCTAATACTTTGAAATATAAGTTTCTATTTTAAGCATTAATTCAATAAATGCATAGAAGAATATTTCACATTTTTAACTTGAAAATGAACAATCTAGTTTAGATACATATTGGTTGATAGTTTTTAGATTAAGCACAAAACTGGTATTTTTTTTTCTTAGACACTGTTACGTTTGATAAATTATTTCAAATGGTTTAGAACACTGTACTACTAATTAATATAATAGAATTGAAATTTAGCATGCTTTAATTGTGAAATAATATTTTTTTCAGTGTGCTGGCCCAGTATGTGACTGCAAAAGAAACAGTGATGTAAGAAAAATCTTTTAAACCATATTAAACTACAATATTTTCTTTTGTTATTATCCCTTGATAATCCCTTCAATGATTAGAAAGATTTAAGAATTATAACTTCAAATAATGGAAAAGTAAACCAATTAATAGATTTGAGGTTAATCTAATTTGAAGTCCTAAAACAAATAGCTTTTTAAAAAATATAAGTCATAATTTGATAAGGTAAAAAAATAGTCATATTCATGTAAATTATGTTGTCTTTAGTTCCAATCTCATTAAGTTCTTTTGTTCTTTTATTTATCTCCAACTCCATTTCTGAATGGGAATTTTCTTTTTTTTTTGGGTCTGGTCATGGGGCCTGAACTCTGGGCCTGGGCGCTGTCCCTCAGCTCTTCAGCTCAAGGCTAGCGCTCTACCACTTGAGCCACAGCGCCACTTCCGGCTTTTTTCTTTTTGCTTATGTGGTGCTGAGGAATCGATCCCAGGGCCTTGAGCATGCAAGGCAAGCGCTCTACCACTGAGCCACCTTCCCAGCCCTGAATGGGAATTTTCTAACAAAGCATCCTATTGGTCTCCAGTGAAACTTACCTTGATGTTGTTTCACACTTTCTCTGAAGTTGTTTACCCTATAGCTTTGGAAAATAATTTTAACTGAGTCCTTATATAACATAGTTTATTACAAAGTTTCATTTGAAAGTACTGAGTATCACCTTGTCTTGGAGCTGGGCACTGGTTGATCACACCTGTAATCCTAGCTACTCAGGAGTCTGAGATCTGAGGATTGCAGTTTGAATCTAGCCTGGACAGGAAAAAGCTGAGACTTATGTTTAATTAAATTCCAAAAGGCCACAAGTGGAGCTGTGGCTTAGTGGTAGAATGCTAGCCTTGAGCAAAAATGCTGAGAAAGGTTCCCAGGTACCCAAGTTCAAGCTCCAGTACTAGCGCGCTCGTGTGCGTGCACACACACACACACACACACACACACACACACAAGATTATTTTTGCTTATGAAATTGGAAAAGAAAATGGAAACAAAAAATGTGGTCCAACTTTGTTCAAAATTAAACAAATTGAAGATATTCTTAGTATCATCATCATAATAATGTTGGATAAATTAACTGAAAAAGTGTGATGCAGTTAGGTACTCAAGCCCATTTATGTGTCTGTATACTACTTCCAAGGAAGGTCATGGACTCAAGTCACATCTATCACTTCCACTTCGGCAAAATCATAAGCCAGTTGCCTGTACAATTTTTATATCTTGCTTATCTTACATAGGCAAGGTGGCAGCTGTCTTTAGAGCAAAGGTTTAAGCAAACTACTTCCAAATTAGGAAAATAGTGTATTATGTTCCCAACTTTGAATGGCGTGCTTTAAGTTTTAATTTTATTTGGTAACAGTTACTGAATTGGCTTCCAACATGTAATATATTTTAAAAGGGGTGTGATTTGTTTTTCTAGATTTCAGATCATATTTTGTTTTACTTTTTGGCCTTTAATTGCCTATCATTCAACAGTGTGCTTCAAATATATAAATATAGAAGTTATTAATTTTATGCTGTTTTTTCTTCTAGTTTATCAAATATGGTAACTAACATGTTTATATGTTTTGGATGATAACCATATGTTCAACCTTAAAATAATTGCAAATTATTGAACATTTTGGTTTATCTATTTTTCTGGATCATTTAGATTACTTAGAACTTGTAAAAAAGATTATTGCTGATTTGTTCATACTGATTGGAAAATCTAAGTATATGACTATTGGTAGATTATTAAGATAAGGAGTTTTGACATTGATACTTGCCCTTAATTTATTTCAGAACAATTCCCTAAACATATACCTTATATGAATAGATAGATATATATACGTTTTTCTTTAATTTTATGTCCTAATCATAATGAGATACCATATTCTTCCTAAAAATCTACTTTTATTTTTACAGGTAATGGATTGTGTGATTCTAGATGATGGTGGGTTTCTTTTGATGGCAAATCATGATGATTATACTAATCAGGTATGTAACTGAAGGAGGAAAGAATTATTTTTTTATCATGAAAATACTGTACAGAGGAGTTACAATTACATGGGCAAGATAATGAGTACATTTCTTATCAAGTACTGTTGCTTCCTCCTTTGTTTCCCCTTCCCATCCCTTCCCATATCCCACCCCACCTATCCAACCATATCCCCTCTCCCCCAACAGCCAAAGTTGTAAAGTTCATTTTCGACATAACATCTTGTAACATCTCATTGTTGCAATGGGTCCACCTGTATCCCTATTTAAACGATTTGTTTTTTCCTTCCCCTCCACAAATTATACCAACATCATATACAGTGAAAGCAAGGGTTATATCATGGGGGAGGGACATACACAGCAACAAAAAAATAATCTTATAAATATGTTAGAAACAATGGCATGAGAGTAAAAAGCATTGGAATACTTACCTTGGGGTTCATTTCACCTAACATCAACATATCTAACCTTTTCTACTTGTCTCAGACATATACTAGTTATTACAAATAAGGGAAACCATGGGACCTATGTTTCTTTGGGCCTGGCTTACTTCACTTAGTATAATTTTTTCCAAGTCTTTCCATTTCCTAACAAATGGGGCAATGTCATTCAAGAAGTATTTTCTCCAAATTATATAACCCTGGTGTACATTAAAACAAAATCTCTTCAAACATCTTAGAAGTTGATGGGTTGCTGTATTTCTATGACAAAATAAATTTTAAAATGCTGTATATAATGTAAGCCACTAAGAAAAGCATGTTAAATCTTTTATTTGTGTTTTTTACTTGATTTTACTTTTAGATATAAATAGTTTAACCAAGGATTTTAACATGATAAAAGCTTATTTTCATTCCTTTAAATGTTTATAAAATTATAGCAAATTAAAGATCTTTCAGTATATAATATCTAACTTAATGTATGACTGGTTGAGTTTCTGGTTCCAGTACATAAGATATTGTGATCAACAGGATTTTAACTAAATTTCAACTTAGCTGCCAACTAAGTTCATTTTTGGATCTACAGTTCCGACTTCTCTTTAAAAAAAATCATAGAGGTTTCAATACTGGAGTTCTTTTGAATAAATATTGTCTTTTTATGGCTAGAGCTGAAATAGGTACTGGTTTCTTGTTAAAGTGAAATTCTTCCAGTTCATCATTCATTTGTCTACTTAATTCAACCCACTCTCCTGTTTGGAAATAGTTTCAGATTCTGGAAAATAGTTTGGCTTTTTGTGTTTGCTTTTGAGTTTCATTCTTATATTTATAGGAGTGCATGCAATGAACTCTCTACAAATTTCTAATATGCAGTACAGTAGAATTAACCATCTTATTTCCTAGGCATAATAATATTATATACCTGAAACTTGCTACCTTCTGTATTATGTCTCTTCATTTGCCAATCAACCCTTTTCTACTTATGTAACACACATTTTATTGTGACTCCTTGATCTGGGTCCATTTCTTTCATAAACAAATACCATAAGGAATAATGAGAGTATCTGCTCTAATTTTTATTTGATTGATTGAACTCTAGGCCTTGCAGTTGCTAGGCAGGCTCTTCATTACCTGAGCCACACTTTCACTATGTTTTGAATAGTATTTTCCTTTTTTCATGATCCTCATCATTATACTATCTATGTTCCTGGGATGGGACCTATTGGTTAAGAAGGAGTCATGAGAACTTTGGCTTAGCTGAAATCTTCCCTGGCCATGCTACAACCAAAGTGGCTAGGATAGAGACCTGAGCAATTTGCATTTCTCATATTGTCATACAAGGGTACATCATTTGCTTTTTTTTTTTTGAGCTCTAATGATTTTTATTTTTGGTTCTTGGTTTCTTAGTATTTTTTTTCAATTTGAAACTCTCATAATTTATATATTTATTTATTTGTTTTGACCAGATTGGACGCTTTTTTGGAGAAATTGATCCAAGCTTGATGAGACACCTAGTTAATATATCAATTTATGCTTTTAACAAATCTTATGATTATCAGTCAGTGTGTAATCCTGTTACTACACCAAAGCAAGGAGCAGGCCATCGCTCAGCATATGTGGTGAGTAGAATCCCTGATGCATCAGTTCCTCTCAAAAGCACACTATAGCATAGTTAATATACTGGACTGACTTTCCTATTATATTTTGCAGCCATCCATAGCAGACATATTACAAATTGGCTGGTGGGCCACTGCAGCTGCCTGGTAAGTTAGCATTTTACTTTTGTTAGTAATAGGGAAAGGAGTCCCTCCCTTGGTCCCAAACACTTTTTACTTCTTAACTGTTTTACAGATTAAAACAAAATTATACTGTTTTGTATAATTTATGAAATAACATATAAAATATTCCTAGTATGAAGCCTGTGACTCACATCTATAATTCTAGCTACTCAGAGGTTGAGATCTGAGAATTAAGATTTCAAAGCTACCTTAGGCAGACAAGTCTGAGAAATTTGTATTTCCAATAAACCTGCAAAAAGCCAGAACTAGATGCATGGCTTAAATGGCACAGAGCCAGCTGAAAATTAAACTGTAAAAGCCCTTGTACGCGCAAACACACACACACACACAGCTCCTAAACTTTCTGTTAGTAAACTTTTAATTTTTCCCAAAATGTTGGAAAGAAAACTTGTGATTCCAGAGGCATGTTTCTGTGAAAAAACTCATATTTTAATTATAAAATTTATATATATATATATATATAGAAAAACTCCTAGATTTATATGAATTACTCATTTTAAACATTCAGGTCTATTCTCCAGCAGTTGCTCTTGAGTTTGACCTTTCCACGGCTCCTTGAAGCAGGTAGGTAAATATTTAGATATTTTAATTTTTTCATAATAACAATGAACACTTTCTTTGGGAATATTCTACACATAAAGAACCTGTGTGTGGGTATCTAAAAAGAGAGACAGACAACGAGATAGAGATCATCTGTCTAACACTGGTAGGCTGAAATTTTTGTCAGCTATGTTCTAATTTTTCATAAGCTTTTCTCATTTGTACTGGCTTGTAATTTATTCTTTTGGGTACTTATTGGACATCAACAAGGGTCTGTGAAGGTATTTACCCAGTAAACAAGCCAGTTGCTCCAGTGAATGATGGGGTGGGGAGAGTAACAGACCACAGTACTCATGATGGTGACCTTTGCTTGCTTTCCACAGTGGAGATGGAAGATGATGACTTCTCTGCCTCTCTGTCAAAGCAGAGCTGCATTACTGAACAAACACAGTATTTCTTTGACAATGACAGCAAATCACTTAGTGGTGTGTTAGACTGTGGAAACTGCTCCAGGTACTTTTCTCCTTTCTGTCTGGATTAATCTTAGGTCACTAGGAAATTGCATTTGCTGCTATAATCATCACTGACAATCATGGAGATAGACAAAGGAATCAGAGCTTCCCTTTTTTAAGCCAGAATGTAGAGAAATTTGGTTATATTTTAATGCACTTTCAACTAAAATAAACCATAGTAAGATTTTTCTACTTAAGTGCTAATGGCTTATGTCTGCTAGATTATGGTTTGGTATTGGTCCAGAAAGAAAAGTCTGTGAGACTCTTATTGATCCACTCAATCAGCATAAAGTCAGAATTGGAGGTGTAGCTCAAGAGTAGATGGTCCAGGCTTGAGTGAAAAAGCTAAGCAACAACATGAGGCCCAGAATCCAAATCTCAGTTTTGGAAAACAAACAAACAAATAAAAATCCTTTCTGAGAAAGTTAAAAATTATATTAATTCTATTATAATTAATTTAATGATATTCAATTAACTTTGTAACACTTACAAACTGATATCTAAAGAAGGTGGCTTTGATTATTTTTACTTCTAGTCTTGATGAACATGGAATTTTGAATGTGATTTTTGAGTTGAAATTGTGAAAAATTATCCTTTTCTAAAATCAGGATTAATTCTAGCATTTTGGAAGAGATGGAAATTTAATTGGTTGTAATGGGGTAAAAAAGAAAGGCAATGAGAAAGGAGATGTTCAAAAGTTCGAAAAGAGAGTGATACTCTAAGTAACAAGGTATCAGGAAAGCAAACAGCATGCCACAGCTTAGGAAGAATTGGACACTGGTTTTAGTGACACAGGGCAGGTTATTCCAGAAAAAAATGTTAACAGTGAGAAGAAGAAATACGAGCAGGTGAGATAATCCGAGCTCATGAAAATGCTGGAATAATCAGTTGCTAGGGGATTTGGAAAAGTAGTCTGTAATCGTTAAAACATTTTTTTTCCAACAAAAAGGGTTAGCCAAAACTGTCATGAATATTTAATAGACATAGTAAGGATGTTTTGTCATTTACTTTTACAAAGTACTATGTCCAACGAGGTGGTCCAAGCCAGGAAGAAAGGGAAGAAGTCAAACATGGTCTCAGAAAATAGATCCTCTCATTTGGAGATGAGCACAACAGACTGGGTTCCACATATGGGATTGGAGCATATTTGTAGATACATTCATGATTTCAGAATCCTTTGATCTTACAGTAATTGAGTCCCAGGGATAGCTGTCTGTAAAGAGGTAAATTAATCTGTAAGGTAAAGATAAATATAGCCATGATATTACATTACATCTTGCTTTCATTGCATTTGCTTCAATGTGGAGGAAAGGAAATAAAAGTCCTTTGTTAAAAAATGTATAACAGAAAAATTTTAGTTATACATTTACATTTTATCCTGGTTCACAAAGGAAGATGGAAGTAGTTAAACTGAGGCACTATGTGAATAATGTTTATTATATTGCACAAATCTTTTCACAGAGTTTTTTGAGCAGCATTGATATAATCTATATTCTGCCCTTAGCTTAGGCAAGATACTCAGCCACTTTTCTGGTCTTAGCTTTCATATCGGTAAAAATAAGTCAATTTTAATATACTTTTAGTGTTTAAAGGTCAAAATTTCCTTGAACATGTGACATTAATATTTTTTCTGTAAGTTTCAAAAACTAAATTATTGTGTGATAAGAGCTAGTACTTCAAAACTTCCAATATGAGATGTTTTAGGTATTACCTTTGAATTTAATGTTCATTTAAAAGATTTAACATGTTCATGCTAATAAAATCTATTCTAGGCTGGGAAGGTAGCTCAGTGGTAGAGCGCTTACCTTGCATGTATGAGGCCCTGGGTTCGATTCCTCAGCACCACATAAGCAAAAAGAAAAAAAGCCAGAAGTGGCGCTGTGGCTCAAGTGGTAGAGCGCTAGCCTTGAGCTGAAGAGCTGAGGGACAGCTCCCAGGCCCAGAGTTCAGGCCCCACGACCAGACCAAAAAAAAAAAAATCTATTTTAAATGAAACCTGTCTAATAAAATGCTCTCCTAAAATCTCATTCTGTTTTATTTATGATGGTGATGGTTTTTTCCAGTAGTTCATATTAACTCTTTTGTAATATGTGAGGCTTTTTGCAGTATTTTATCTTTCCCTGAAATAATATTTATCTCATACATCAACATTTATTTTGCAGAATCTTTCATGTAGAAAAGCTCATGAATACCAACTTAATATTTATAATGGTCGAGAGCAAAGGAACTTGTCCCTGTGACACACGGCTACTCATGCAAGCTGAACAGACATGTATCCTTTGGTGTTAGAAATGTTTGGAACAGAAAGCCATCCTAAAGGAATTTTAAACTTGTCATTTTATTCCTGTTCATAAAGAGAAGAATATTACATTACTGGAGTCAGCCCCACAGAGCCAGAAATAGATCTTACACCCCAAATTTGGCATGCATGTCAAAACTGATTATGCTACATGTTCATTATGAGGAGAAGGAATAATTTATGGTTTCTTCCATCTCCAAGTTCTTAAATTGATTATGTTCAGGGAGAGTGATGATATGGCTATCCCATGCTCTCTTTTGGTATCAGACGTATTTCATTGTAATTTCTGTAATCATATCGAAAACAGCTTCGTTCTCCTTAACAAGTCTCTTTAGCTGATGGTCCAGACCCTTGTGATATGGTTAAGCAGCCCAGATACAGAAAAGGGCCTGATGTCTGCTTTGACAACAACATCCTGGTAAGGCTACTCTTTTTCTGGAATTAAATCCTATAAATTAATGACCATTTTCCCTAAGAAGTTAAGGAGATAAGTTGAAATTTTAATTCAAATATAATGTCTTAACCACAGTTCTTCTCGTGGACTTGATGTAATTGCTGGTAGAGTTTTTGTTTTTGTTTTTGTTTTTACTTCAGTATTTATGATTAGCATAAACTTGAGTAGTTGATGCTTTTGTCTTTCTCCCAGACCTTGTACTTTCAAACACAACTCTAATCGATTTGCTGATACTCTAGGGTCACTAATATAATTCACAGACTTTCTAATGATTAGTAGCTTGGAGTAAATATTACTTAAAGGTATGTTTATTGTCTATTCACATATAATCCAATTCTAAAATAGTTAAAATCAAGTCCTCAAAACTGGTATGTTGCTTTTACTATAAAACTTATATTAGTCCTTTTTTTTAGCATTTTATTCTGTTTCTTCTAATTTTGTTCTATAACTATTCTATATTATGGTTCTATGTTTTTTTTTCTACATGGGTTCTGTTTCAGTCATATATTAGGTTGTATTATTCCTCTTAATTGTGCTAATTTGGCTTTCTATTATTTAAAATCAGGCCAGGTTAATTACTTAATGTTAATTTGATTGAATATTACAAAGAATACTTATTGAATGTTACCTAAAGATTAAGGATATTTTCTGATGAAATCTGTCCCAATTTCAACTGACTTAAAATAGATTATTATTCTACTCTATAGTTTTTCAGTGTTGGGCCAGGTTAATTACTTAATGTTAATTTGATTGAATATTACAAAGAATACTTATTGAATGTTACCTAAAGATTAAGGATATTTTCTGATGAAATCTGTCCCAACTTCAACTGACTTAAAATAGATTATTATTCTACTCTATAGTTTTTCAGTGTTATTTTTTATTAAGTGACTTGTACATACAAGTGAGATCCAAACCTAGAACATTATAATAAATTATTTTAGAAACATAGCCAAAATCTACCAATTAATATGTATTCTAGAGGTTCTTATTTAGAATAGGTTTGCCTATTTTATTCCAGCAAAATTAATACATTGTAGTGCTATAGATACTTATTATGAAATTAGGTAATAAAAATGAAGCAAAGAAGTCAAATCAGTATTAGAGAATAGAACTAAAATTGTGAGTATTTTTAACTGCTCAATCCCAGTTTTCTCTGTGAAAAGTGCTTTCCTTTGTTATAGGGTAAGTAGATACATATTGTAATTAAAGCTTTTTTTTTTCTATCTCTAAGCCCAATTTATAGTTTCATCCATTAGAGGAACTTTACTTATTAACTATCACCACCTTTCATAAATGAAAGTTCAAAAGCTGGTTAAAATAAACTAGACTTCAAATATTCTCAGCCTAGTAAGTTATAGCTGTTATTCAAGGTATTTAAAATATTAGACTAGAACAAAAGTTGCCAATGATTGGAGTTTCTATAAACTGAATATCAGGTTGTGTGTGAAAGTACAGGTCTTGCTCAGTAGCTTGGTGTGCTAATAATGTGTCGTGTTTTCTTTAGCAGTGGAGTACTTTGGTAATGCTCATTTGCAATGGTCACTGTTGAATCTGCTGTGGATGAAGGCTCACATTAACTGCTAATTGCCAGCAAACTGCATGAAATCTCATCTTGTATGTCTTCTTCTCTGTGTTTTCTTTCCTCTTCCTGTGCTTGCTACTTTGCCCGTTATTAATAGGATCAACTTATATGCACACCGAGTCGTGCCTGTTCCATGATGTCAGCTCCTATCTTCATTTTACTGCAAGTTTTCATGTGGTGTGGATGGTCAGTCACTTTTCTCTAATTTTTCTTTCTTTTGGTTTTTTGGCTTGATATATTTTAGAAAATCCATATCCCTAATTCTATAATAATTAATGTCCAAGAAAAAAGTTACTAAAATTCCAGTACTGTTATTGTTTTGCAAGTCACTGATTTCAAAAGATAGTTTCTCATTCTGCATACATTACATTTCTTTGTTTGTTTTAAAAGAAATCACTATTTTCTCATAGGATGTTTATAGAAACTTTAAATGAGTGTGAAAAAATAATTATAAGCTCTTAATGATAATGCTTAGTAACAACTACTAGAACTAGTCAAGAGCATAATTTTCCAAAATGGCTGACAAAATTAATGTTTTTAATCAAACATTATGGAGTAAATTTCCCAAATACTTTACATTGTTATTGACATAGTATGTGTTTCTCATTTCTGTTTCTCATTCCTAGTTCAAGCAAAAAATTTAAGGAGTAGATGTCAAATGTGAGGAAAAAAAAACAATATTACCGAATAGATATGGGCCTGACATTTGTGTTCAGTGATCTATTGTTCTGAAATTTAATTTCTGATGCTTGAGAATCATCATGATTGTGTTATTAGGGAAACTGTTATTGTGTTCTTTCTTTACTGACTCCCAGGTATTCATTGTGCCCAATTTAGCGGGCTAGGGGATGCCAGAAGAGACAGTAGCAGAGCAAGTTTCAGAAAATAATCAGTTTTCTTCTGAAATAACAATAGAATGGTTTTTGTAGCAAAAAGTTTCAAATAAAAGTAACCTAGACAGTTTTAGTGGCTAAATGTAAGCTCAAAATTACATGATCTCTCTCCATACGGACCTTAATATTGGCATATGAGCTGCTGTTTAAAATGCAGCTTCATCCAAACCTTAAGTAAATTATGCAGAGGGATATATAGAGATATGTGATAAACTTTTAAATAAGGAAAAATAACAGAATTGTATGATTCTATATTATCCTTATTTCTGATCATCATAGAAATGAGACAACCATAGTTCAAGGGTACCAAATTAATAATATATTTTATTCTATACATATTCACATATCTTCTCTTTTTTTTTTTTTTTGGTCAGTCATGGAGATTGAGCTCAGTGCAGGGCATTGTCCCTAAGGCTTTTTGCTCAAGGCTAACACTACCACTTTCAGCACTTTCAGCACCAGCTCCCCTTACAGTTTTCTAGTGATTATTTGGAGATAAGAGTCACATGGACTTTCCTTTCTGACTGGCTTCGAACCCCAATCCTCAGATCTCAGCCTCCTCAGTAGCTAGGATTACAGGTGTGAGCCACCAGCATCTGTCTCATATTTTCACCTGATTCTAATGACTACTCTTCTCCATCACACAAATTTTAGAAAATATTTAGAGGTTATAAATTAGATATAAATTTCTAAATATTGTTTTATAATCTGCCACAGTTTAATGAGCATATTTTAACTATGAAAATATAGCATTATAAATATCCCCCCAAAAGCATAATGACTATAAATATAAGATGCACAAGAAACTGAATTAAATCATACATCCTTATTAAAATACACATATTTGTTAATTTTACATATTGTAATGCAGCCATAGTTCTAAGAGAGCTTATTACTAATGAAATGGTGGCTTTGATTTTATTTTCTACTTTTGTAAAATAATGCACGTTTCTGTTTTTCTGCATAAATTGCATAACCAGAAAAAATAAAAAATAAAAATGAGATGTCATTGCTGAATTTCAATTACTACAATATGAATTGTTGATCTCTGCTTGGTGTCTTGATGTACTTGCCTTCCAAGCAGAATGACTGTACTCTGTATATGCAGCTAAATGTATGCAGCAGCCGTGTACAAACAAATCCCATCTATATATGTATTTAAGTCTTAAACATAGAAAGCAAGGGCTAGGTATACTGTGAAATCCATAAAGGATATAGATTGTAGGTATTTGTTTATGAAGTACCATACAAACATCTTAAAACACAAAAGGTGTTGAAATCATACCTTTTGATGAGGATTTCATGGATACTTATGTGGTAAAGGAAAACAAAAAGATAACAAAATGCCAGAGGTTTTTTAATTAATCTGAGAAAGCAAAGCAAGCCTATGTGTTCATTGAAAAGTTCATTATTTTATGTAAATCCAATTTATAAAAGTATCTTTGGGGTTCATAAAATGTATATGTATCCATAAAGCTGTGTGTATGCATGTATTAATATTTCTATATTTAAACAATTTGCCAATTTTTTCCCTATCTCTTTGGGTGATTGTGTCAGTACATTAAAATGCCAGGTAGAAGAAGAATTTACTTCAATTAAGAGTTACAGTTCAGTCCAGTATTCATTCACCTAACAACAAATAAAATAAATATAGTCTGATAGTATGGTAGAGTTCCTTTTTAATAAGAACAAAATCCAGAGTTCAAACCGGAGTTCGGCAAAAAGAAATACACTAACGCATAGATAGTTAGATAGATAGATAGATAGATAGATAGATAGATAGATAGATAGATAGATAGATGTAGGTTTTCTTTGCTGCACTGCCAGAGTGAGTTTAATATAGCTTTGTCGAAACCTAATATCTAATAATTAAACTATTTTCAGAAACAATAGGGCACACTTTCCTCAGCTGAATTTAATTTGGCAAAATTGGTTTCTAAAATTATATGTTATTTTAATTACTGTATCCCTTGGGCAATTAGTTTTCCCAGGTTCTGGTTGCAGAAAGAAAGACAAAGAAGGCTTCAATGCTTATTTAGCAACAATAAATTGAAGAGGTTTTTAACTTATACATGGTCATAAAGGTAAACCTTAGAGCAAGCCAAATTAATTGAACTATAATTTAGGTTTCTTTTTCTTTAATAAGTTTTAAAGAAGAAAAGGTTATAGAGAATTTTCAAATGATGTTTTTTATTAACAATCGTTTGAGAAAGCTTTAAAGAATTCTAGTAAAATTAGTCAATTGTATTTAAAAATTAAATATATAACATATTAGCATCACATCCTTTACCAGTTTTAATGTGAGGGAATAATCCATTGTTTTTCTACTCTGATAAACATTAAAATTATCAGACTCTTGTTTGATCATGGAGTCAGTGGGAAGACAGAGAAAATACTGAGATTTCTCCCCTAACCTGTGCATTTGTGAATTTGAAAATGTTCAAAGTATATCTCACAATGTACTTTCCCAGCATAATTTCTATTTTATTATCTGTAATTTCACCATGTGAGAGACACATGAGAAAATATGATCAGGAAACTGGATGGGTGGATCTTTCAATGTGAATCAACATACAAACCATGGGAACTCCAAATAACTGATCTAAATTTCCATCTCCCAGACTGAAGCAGACAAATCCCATTATCACATGGAGGTGATGGGAAAACATTAAAACAATGAAGAGCCCGAGAATATTTTTTTTCTTTTCACAATAAGTTTCTACAATATTAAGACTTATTTCACATTAACAAGAATTTCCTTGAAAAATGCATTCTTTATTACCTGAATGAGTTGTATCTGCATAGATTTTTATTCCATCATATTGATACTTAGCCTGAATGTGGGTATACTCCTGACTGACATTTAGTCATTTTCTTTTCTTTTCTTGTCTTTGCTGGTTGTGGGGCCTGAACTCTGGGCCTGGGCGCTGTCCTTCAGCTCTCTTCTGCTCAAGGCTAGCTCTCTACCACTTGAGCCACAGTACTATTTCTGGCTTTTTCTGCTTATGTGATGCTGAGGACTTGAACCCAGGGCCTCATGCATGCAAGGCAAGCACTCTACCTCTGAGCCACCTTCCCAGCCCCTAGTCATTTTACTTATTACTTTATGCTTGTAATCTTTCTAGCCAATTAACATGTGTGCTTCTCAGTCAAGCATTTGCTATTCATTCATCAAATACTGGCTATCCACACATTGTGGATCATACCTCTCTTGTATCTGTGAGATATCTGGGATAAATATATGCACACTAAATGATGCTTTTTAATCTGAAATTTGAATGTAACCTGTGCTCTGTTTTTATCTGGTTACCATACTTGAAGGGCAAAGCATCTGAACCAAGGTTATACAATGTATAAAGATCTTCAGCGAGCACATGGCCTCTCACACAGAAATAGCATTGGTGTAGCAAAGTACATAGTGGGAGACAGGACAGGAATGTGGGAAGATGAAAGCCAAGCTCAAGAATACATGAGACTTTGTAGGCTTTAGTAACAAATGTGGATTTTGTTTGGAGAAGGAAGAGATCCTTCAAACAAGAGGTCAGAGGAATTGATATATGGTTTTAAGACTGCTTGTTGGAGAAGAGATTGCAAAGGAGTATGGTAGGAGCCACCTAAGAAGACAAATGAGGCACATTTTCAAGTGAGTTGTACCTAACACAGTAAGAATGGTGGGTTTAAGGATATGTTTAGAAGTTAGAATTAAGGGGACATGCTGATGGATGCTATTTGAGAGAAGGAGAGGCACCTCAGATGATACTTTTTTGTACTCTAGAAGTGTCATGCTCAGGAACACAGAACACCTCAGGAACACCTGTGAGAGGAGAGCTGTCATTGTGAAAGTTATAGGAGAATTCAGTCTGACAGAAAGCAGGTGAAATTCAAAAGCCACAGGACTGTCCAAGATCACCTCCAAACAAAGTATACATATAGAAGAAATGAGGAGAGAGAACTAACACCTCGAAAAAATTAACATCTGGAGGACATGAAAGGAAGGTCAAACTAAAGGAGAGCAAGACTAACCACAGACAGAGTATCAAGGGAAACCAAGAGTGTGTTGGCCAAAGACTAGGGAAAAAATATTTCAACAAAAGCCTGTTATACATTGCTTGTCAAATGCTCCTGGAAAGTCAAATAGGATAAGGGAGATTTTTTTTAATTCTGTTTGTCTTTGACTACTAAAGTTTTCCTTTATAGATTTTTTTTAATGTTCATCCTCTCTTCAATGAATGACTAGAAAAGAGTGGGGCTCTTCAGAAACAATTTAAGAAAGAAATATTATCTATTATCTAAGTGACAGACACTGTTTTAAACTCTGGTGAAAAACAGGAAAAAAGAGGAAATGTTCTTATTCTACAAAATTATCTTGGGAGAAAACATTTGTTCATTTATATAATTGATTGTTTTGATTCTGGGAATATGAACCTAGGATTAGTAAAGTTGTGAAAGATGTTTTTAGGAATGATTAGTCAGGAAATTTACAAAACAGATTATATTACATTAAAAGACAGGAAAGGATATAGAAAACATAAGAGAATATGTAACCTAGGGATAAAAGGTATAGAATAGCTCTGGATTAGTAGGGAGGCAATTGAGCTAGCTCTGCACCCTGGGGGACATAAGTGGATTTACTTAATGCTAATATTTTATAGATTTCTAAGTAAGACAACCCTCTCTTTCTAGTTTAGTTTAGTTTTGTTTTTCCTCTGGATCTGTGTTTGCAGGATATCCTTTCATTGCTAACTCTTCAAAGATGTGATTTTTCAATACACTGTAATACTTGATGAAAATCCAGGTGCAGCATATGTTCTACATATGCTCCTATATGTTGGGTATAAGAAACAAATTTAATTGTATTGCTTATTTTTTTCCTTAGGAGCTAAAAATATAATTACTGGGAATTAATAAATATTAGATACTATTTGTATTTCTTACGCTTGTAAATATATAGGATTTCTAGTGCTATGAAAGCAATTGGCATATTACCCAAATTAGCATTTCTTATTTCATATTTCAAAATCATCAACTTATATCTAAAATGTCAAAGAGTTTGTCAAATGGTGCTAAAGAAATGGTTTTAACCCAAATTACTGAACAATAAAATCTAGGTGAATGTTACTTGGATTCTAGTCAAAAGAATTTTCTAAGGTAAGTTTTTAAGTGGATATAATATGGAGTCCTCTGAAAGGAGCCTCACGCAATGTTTGTCATTAGGTTTTTTTCTTTCCCCTTCTTTTCTAACAGGAAGATTATACCGACTGTGGTGGTGTTTCTGGGTTAAATCCATCCCTGTGGTCTCTCGTTGGACTCCAGTTCCTACTACTTTGGCTGGTATCTGGCAGCAGATGGTTCCTATTGTGACCTCCCAAACCCCAGATCTGCATCAACTCCAGACTCTGACAAAATATGAGCCCTTGATTACATTAGGGTCAATCGTGGAATCAGCAGTACCTTAGTTGGACCTATACCATGGTGTAACTCTAAGGCACAGATCCATAAGCACCCACTGGCTGCATGTCAGGATGTCAGATCCTCCAAATTGTGTGAATGCTGCATCATCTATGTATAACATCAAAGCAAAACTCTATATGTGCTCTGTTGGAAATGTTGGGAGTTTGCTGTTGCATTGGTGATTATATGTACAAGGGCTCCCCATACAATTGTTATGAATCGTAAGAAAGGTCTTGATTTGGATCTGGAATTTCAACTTGCTGCAATTCTACTAAGAAAATCTTTAGGGTGGGGAATGTTATCTTTTGCCATCATTAACTCTTCTGTTCAAAAGTAATCCCTACCTGGAACATCTTTCCTGAATAGAGAGATAGAGAGAGAAAGCAAGAAGGGAGAAAAGAATCCTATTAAAATATTAATGGCTAATTTTTAACAGAAAAACGAAATTGCCATGAATAAAATGCCTTACAACGAATGACTTCTCTGCCAAAAATAAAACACAATCGACCATTAAATTTCAGTGAGGTAATGAATTGATGGTTTGAAAATAATCACCAAGATATTATTAAACTTAAGGTGCTTGAGGGTGAAATCTGAATGTGTGGCATATTTCCTCATAAATGTAAGCCCTTAAATGCTTGGATGTAATGTTTCTTTTGTTCCCAGTGCAGTTATGTAGTGCTAGCCAGATATTTAAAAATGCTCTAAGAAAAGCTTGTTGGGGGGAGGGAAGTGTTTTTCTTGTGATATTGAACTTGGGTTACCAAGGGTATTGTGCATGATGCTGCTGCTATTTTAACTTTTTGGTTTGTTTCTCTCTTACTGTAGAGTGTAGTCCATTGAAAAGTTAACTGAGTGACATTATTGTCATGTAAGAATCTGAACCTTGCAGTGTAAACGCACTTGAATCATCTTTTAAAATGTGGTTAAACTACTCTGAATATACTGTGCAATATAAATACTGAATGACTGGGTTAGGTTAATGGTGAAATGAGAATTAATGGATTTTATACAGATTTGTGCTTTTGCCTGGAAAACCTATGTACAGATATTTTAAGTACATAAATCAGATCTAACACATTTATTTTTTGAAAAGTACATATATGTTTTCAATAAAGATTCATCCTTGGTTTCCTCTTTGTTCATCTTGACAGTAGCATGGACAATCCACAAATTGCTGCTGTGGCTTTTGTCCCTCTACTTTAAATGGTGTGATCATTTGGCCAACATTTCTATACAATTCTATGAGGGTTTTACAACAATCAGAACAAACAGGAAACCTTGAATCTATATGTATGCACATGAACACTTGATTGTGAATAATAAAAATTTGTTTTTATACAGCCTCATTGGTGAAAATGATTAGTGTAGTAAAGCAGGTATTTCATTATAGATTAATATGATATAAAATGTTATTTATGTTTTGAAAACTTATTTTCAGGAATAAACAGTATTGAAGAAAGGGTAAGAATAATGAAGAATTATGCTAAAAGCTAAAAGGTTGCAGATATTTTTTATGGTTAAATGATTTTTTTTCTTTTTTCAAACATGCCAAGTAATGGTGTGTGTATATGCTGGAAATATTCTTATATATCATTTTCAAATCAAAGTTATTTATATTATCCAGCATGCTTTAACATGCTCACATATCAAAGATATAATCAATTCTTTGGCATAATTATTGTTTTTTAGCCTTGCGTATATTTGTAATTTTCCCTATTGTCAATATATCCTGTACATTTCCTTAATTTAAGAATTTTTTTTTAATTTAAATTGGGGGAAAGGGAAACTGAAATCACTTTGCCAACTGTTCTTCTAAAAGTTGACATCAGTACCATTTCTAATGTGTTGTGATTTTGTAGTCCATTCATAACTGGTATTGACATTTTAGAAAACACCAAAGTGATTGCAAAATAGTGATGATATGGTAAAATCATGTTGTATGTTGTTTAAATATTTAAAACTTACTGTTAACCTTTTTCCTATTCTATTTTAAATCATAAAAGTGTTAGAAAGGAGATCTTCAAATGTATGACCAATAGTGTGTGTATATAAATGATACACAATACAACAATCAAATTGCTTCTAGCATACAACAAACTACCTTAAGGTTGTGTTTAAGATATTTTATTTCATGGATGATGTTATTTACATAGTATGTTTTCATCAACTACATTATTGTTGTGTTTATCACAGTGAAACTTGGCATCTCCTGGCAAAGCCCTGTTTGATTTTAGTTGTATTTTATGACAGCCACACATGGGGTGACAAACGGATAAACCATGCTCTCCAAGTAGAAATTGTGTGATGGATACCAATCTTCATACTTTTAGCATAGTGTTTTAAAACAGAACACCAGTCATCCAATCAAATTGTTAAATTTACTATTGTTCTGTGAATTGTGTTACCAAGACATTAAATTTATATTAACATTGATTTCCAAAGACTGGATAGTGCAAAAGATTAATTGGAAAGCTTTTACCTGTTTTTACTTGTTTAATTTTTGCTATACTCATGTGGCTTAATGCAGTTTGTCACATAGAGTCAAAATAAATCATACACTGGTTTTGAGTAGCAAGAACGAGTTTTTCATAAATGGCCTCATCTTTTCTTCATTTGAACAACCAGCATTACTGCCAAACACCAGTCGTGGTCCATATTTGTAACAGGTTTTTAACATGACATAGTTAGCAAGTTTGATTGAAGAGATTTTTAGGTCCTGGGCCTATAAGATTTTAGTATGATCTTTATTTCATGTTTCTAATGCTTAAAGCATTAATGCTTACCTTGAGGAAATAATAATAAAACATTGTTGCTGCCATTTGTAAGTTTTCCTATATATGATATTCCTTTTATGAACTTTAAAACTGGCCTTATGGGGTTCAAATAGGCAGTATCCCTTTTAAGTGACCTTTGCAACCCAAGTGTTACTTGCTTATTTGATGCTCTCTTGTCTTTTACGTCTCATTTAAATATTTGTCCTATCTTCACCAAAGTTTAAATTCCACATCTTAGTTTAAACCTTTGAAGCTGTTTCATTGATCTCATTAGTGGAGATTCAAATATCTAACAGAATGCAGTTGAAACTAGCAAGACAAAGATATTTGTGACTTTTTTCACACTTCGCAAATTCCACATATTATACTATCTAGAACTTGCATTATTTGCCATAGCAGAATGTTATTATTTAGTGAACATTTATTGTAAAGACCAAGTCACTAACAAAAACCAGTATTGGGCGTGAAAAACAAAAATACAGAATTTTGAAGAATTGAATAGCCCTTGCCTGTAGGGTCACCGATCTTCTTTTTAGTTCATAAAAGAAATAATCTCAAAAAAATTTCCACGGAGACGCATGGGATACTACTGTCTTACATAGATGCCAGTTGAGTTTATAGTGTGACCTGGCTATGCCATCCTTTCTGTTACGCTGTGCAATTGTTAGATCTTGCTTCTAGGATTACTTCTGATGAAATAAATACTCAGCGTTCATCTGTGCAAAAAGCCCTGTGGCTTTTGTGAACCAGAGCTCTTTTTTCCCCTTTATTATTGTTCTCTTGACCCTTTTGTGGACATTAACTAGCCTGATTACAACATTTTGTAAAAATTTGTATAATACTGTTATAAAAATATTTATAATCCCAGAAAATGTTGTGTTAAATCTTGTGCAAAAACAGTATATTCAGAATAAAAGTTTATCATTTAAAATCACCAAGCAGTTTGGGTTGTTGGCTCTTTAATGATCCAGTTGAAAGGGGCAGAAAAGTCTTTGAGAAATGTGTTTTATGGGAAGAGTCCTGCTGGAGAGAATTTTTGACTGTGGAAATAAAATGTGTTAGTAAAACCAAGCTCAATTCACAAATACAAGCACTTGCAACTTCTTCCTCTGCACCAAGGCCTTTAAGAATTTAATAAATCAGACTTTGATTTATTAAGAAGTCTATGTAAAAGTTTCCTAAGCAGAAATAATACCTCCATTTTTTTAAAGATCTTGGGAAATGTGTCCCAAAGGAACCATTAGTATATATAAAATGTAAAGACTACTAAAAGAAGTCCCGAGTAAGGTTCTTTGTATAATTACACCGGCTACCATCTTCCTCCTTATGCTCACTCAGTACTGAGCCTGATGTTATGTGCAATCTAGTATAACAAATTTAAATATTTCTCTACTTGGTTTTTCCATTCTGGAAAATCCTACACGATAAGAGCAAAATATCCCCATATGGATGGAATGTAGCCTGTAGGTATCAATGGTGATGAATACTGGAAAATGTGGCCTATGTCTGATCAAGGCATGTTAACAGGAAAATCCCTAGTTAAAAGTACAAGGTAGATAAGCTTTGTTTTGAGAACATCTGGCTTCATTCTAAAGTAATGTATCTCCTCAATCAATCCACTACCCTGGGACCTTCATTTCCTCTATCAATCATCTTAATCCCTGGGGCATTGCTTTATGGATGTATCTTTATCAGGCACATTCAGTCTTACATGTCTGTAGCCATTTTGTTCCCTCTACCTGCAAACTAATTCAGAATATCTATACTTAAACCAAACAGAACAAGCAAACATACACCACTGCCCACTACCCACTATCACATCCTAAATTTATAAACCTGTCATTGGAATATTCATGCATACATCCAGAGACACATTTTAGTAGTCTTTTCTCTTTGCAGTATAGTTAAGAGGAACTTAAAATTTCACAAATGTAAGCCCCATTACCTGTGATGTATAATTTGACACTGTTACTAAAAGTTTCTAATTACTGGTATGAAGTCCAAATAAGTTGAATGTCTGGGATGTCTGAGTCATGGAAATGCTACACCCCAAAGAAAAGTATCTACACAAACTAGTATACAACTCAATATTGTTTATTTGAAATTATTTAAATGAACCCTATTTTAATATTTTTAGGCAGTGTAATATTATTGTCATAATTAGAAACTCAATGTAACTGGTCATACTTAATGTTGCATTAAAGTAGGCTCATAGTTATTACAATGAGTTCAATAAAATCATTGAGGTTGTCAAATGTAACACACTTAACAAAACACTTTTTCAATGCATTTACCAAAGAATAAGTATAGTTTTTTGCTACTACTTTTAAAGTGTGAACATTGACTCATATGTAATTATAAATTATAGTAAGTAGGTTAAAATACGTGTGTAGATATTTTAAATACATATATATGTGTATATATATATATATATCCTTATACTTGTAGAGCATTTTCTGAGTTGTCTCTGGTATGTAGATTTTTCTCCAGAATTATTAATCATAATTCATTGGGGGGCACTTGAAATATTTTCTTAGTTTCTTTAAAAAAACATTGAAAATATAAACAAGTTCATCATGAACCTTATGCGGTTGGAAAAAATAACTTTCTCATTATACTGAAAAACACGAAAAAATTGTTCAATATAAACTCTAAGGTTAAGAGATTCTAAGCCATAGGTCCCCTGAGATGTAAACTACATTTTACATGAAGCAGCCAAAGGAAACTATTCTCCACAGCCATTAGCTCCTTTGTAAAACTTAACTGGGAACCCAGATGGACTGACATTTGCCAATTTCCTTTATGACAGTCATTTTGGATGGACATCAACTCAGCAACACAGTGATATGGAGACAATCTAGGGACTGGAATAAAATTGATCACCAAATGACCCTCCTTTGTAAACATATTATACAGTTGAAAACAACTATTTCAAACAGGAAAAGTGTTAATAAACATTGCTATTATCTTTGCTTCCCTCATCCTATTTATTTATTTGTGTGGGCGGGGGGGGGGTGTGTGCACACATGCTCACTGATAAGGGGTTTGAACTCAGTCCTAGGTAGTATTCCCCAGCTTTCTTTTGTGCTCAAGGCTAGTGCACTACCAACTGAGTCACAGCTCCACTTCTAAATTTCTCTCTCTCTCTCTCTTTCTTTCTTTCTATTTTTCTTCTTTCCTTCCTTCTTCCCTCTTTCTCTCTTTCTCTCTTCCTTTCTTCCCCCCCCTCTCCTTTTTATGATTAATTGCTCAGGCTGCCTGTGAATGGTGATCCTTAGATCCCAGCCTCCTGAGTAGCTATGATTATAGGCAGGACCCCACCAATATCTGGCTCTCCTCATCATTTTTCATTTGACAATTATACCACTCTATAAAATTCCTAATTTATCAGCTACTACCTTAAAATTAAAATTCATTGGTATGGCAGTATATCCAAGCAGTAACTAGAATGAACTGTTTAGGTTGATATCATGCCTTCTGCACTCACTATATACCATGAGAAAGTAAGATTTCCTACCCCATATAGAATAACTATAACATAGTCAGCATAATATTTAGGTCATATAATTAAAATAATGTTCTTGGTATAGTACTCAGGACTGGGTCAGCACATTATTGTGCATTGTTATGATCATAATCTTTTTTATTCTAATCCTAATCATTTTCTAAATATTCTAACTACCTGCACTATTAATTTGCCATTTAAAACATTAGCCATTTGACTGAAGTGTTGGAAGTAGAGTATTACATGACATGAAAATAGGACAGTTTCTTATAGAATTACTTGCTGAGGGAAGTGTTATGATGCAGGAAAGAAGTAGAAGCTAAGTGACAACTCTGCAGAGCAGAGTCCAATAATTTAAGCTGAGCAAGTACAGTTCCAAACAGTTGAGCCAAGTCAAAGGTAAGAGATGCATGCAAGGTCCTGGAAGAAACTGCATGTGAGCTCAATCCTACTGGAGAGTTGACAGAGGATGGCAGCAGGAAGTTGGAGGGACAAAGGACCACGAATATTTGGATTTCAATAAAACCACTCAGAGTGAAATGTGGCCTGCCAGTTGGAAAACACTACAGCAAAGAAAATCAGTAAAACACACTAGCTCTTATTAATATGACTGTCATAAAGTAGCATAAAAAGAGAACAAGTTTTAAATATTCAGAATAGGAAAAAAAGGATATGATTTTATGATTGAGGGATAGCAGTGAAATAAATGAAGAAAACAAAAACAAAAAACCCTAATGTTTCTAAAGCTTAACTGGGTTTAGTGTATAATTCTCCCAAACTATCAAGGCTTAAAAGGTGGGGATAAGACATTTTCTTCTTTTGTTTTCAATAATAAAATGAATAACTGAACATTAGAAATAGTTTGCATTCTATTGATATCAGCTTGATAGGATGTTAATGATAAATTAATGATTATAGTAATTTTCACTTTATCAGAATAACCTCAAATATGAGAATATAGCAAGGCAATGAACCAAGAGAGCTTGACATACTTTATTTAAGTGATTGCATTTCCAAAATGGAGCCAATTACAATGAGCTTCTTTGCATTTATAATCTTCCTAACTAAAACTGTTTTCAGGTCAATTAGCACCTGGTGATAAGGGATAAGTACTGGCACAACCCAAGGTATCCCAGGTTCTTCAGGTTTAAAGCGTGGATACTTGGGATTCTTCTCTTCTTTTGCTTCTTTCATTGGTAAAAGGAAGGAGTAACAATAAGAAGTAACTAAGAGTGCGCTGTCTCAGGAAATAATATCTGCCTTTGACAGACTCCAATATCTAGCCCAAGATATTGACTGTTGTCTCACTTGCATATATAACTATATACTCAGAATGTACTTATGACCATTACTTTCATTAAAGAAAATGAAGGAGAACTTGGTTATCCTCTCCCTGTCAACCTGAACTTCACCTTAATAGTTGTGTAAATTAAGTGCTCTAAAACTCAGCCATCTCCTAATTTACTTTCAACTATACTTCTATTACCTCAACTACTGACTCCCTTTGTCCTCCACTGTGAATGTTCAGCACTAGACTGGTGCCATAAGCACCATCCCTTTGCATCAACTTGAATTTTCTGGTTTTTACCATATTGTTGATAGCCAAGAATCTACAGAGTTGCATCTATGCTCTTGAACATATGATATGTACAAAGGGCCGTGCCCAGACATGGTGCTATTGTCTCTTGGTTGTTCAAAGATGAGTGATAGAAAAGAAACAGATTAGATATGCAACCACATTGTCACCAAAGTAAATATAAAAAGAGGCTGAGTATATAGACTAAAAGGATTCTAAAAACATTTCTGTAATCTAAGGAATTCATTCTAGGAGAAATTTTTCTGTTAGGTTTATTCTATCCCAATGATCTCTACTCCATTGCTGAATTACATGAGTGAGCAAAATTCTGTTTTCTACAATTCAGACAACTGCTATTGGCTATGAAAGCGTGGAATTAAAAGTTTAGTTATTAAATAATGTGATTCAGTATCTGGAGAGTGTGATTTAAAGCTCTGCTTTTAATTTAAAATCTAAAGCTATCTCTGGGATTCATTTATGATGCCAATAAAGTGTGACTTTCTAAAGATTAAGGCATAAATAATATAATAAAAATGTTTATATTCTAGTGCATCTATATTAGGCAAAAAAACACAAAATGTTACCATATTTGAATTATCTGTTCCAAGACAAATATGTGATTTTATTTTAAGATTTTTGAGTGATCAAACTCTTAAGCTAAAATATTTCAAGTACATATCATGTTAATTACCTTAATCTATAAAAATATAATCTTTAGAAATTATCTTAAGCCCTTGCATTTGGACTAGCCTTCCTTCCTAATTAAGTAAATAGTTTCTAAAATTGAAAATCTTTAGTATCAACAAACAGGTTGAAAAGTCTCC